GGTTTTCTATTATTATTATTATTATTTTAAGAAAATAATTTTAAAACTTTTTGTTTTCTTCTTCCTTTTTTTTTTTTATAGAAATATTGTGTAATGATGTGGTCACACTATACACAATAATAATCATCTAATTTATAATAATCCGACCGTGACGAATTAATAAAAACCTGGGAAAACATAATTTTCACTTTGACCTTTCCCTGTTGAACTTGAACTCCTCCCAATCCGTGAGCATTTTCAACCCGATTCAATTCAAATACCTTAATTTCAGGTTTTTCTGTTTTTTTTTTTTTTTTTTTTTTTGTTTAAAATTTTTTTTTTATTAACCAGACACAAATAATAATAATTATTTAACATTGTTAATGACCTCTCGAATTCAATTTAATAAAAAAAAAAAAAAAACCGTCATAATCGAAATGTAAACTTTGTAGCGGTTTTTTAAAAAATAAAAGTTTAATTAGACTGTAGTCGAATGCCATGACGGCGGCGGGTAGGGCTTACGTCATCCGGAAAAAAAAAATGGCCGCCGATAAATTTAGCAGTTTATGCATGGAGATGTGAAAGTAAAGTATGATTTTTGTTTCTTTTGCAACAATTTTTAAAAAAAATAATTTTGGCGCCAATAGGCATCCCGGTAATTTGTCGTCTTTGAAAAATTTATGAGACCGCCCCGTACATAAAGTGATGAAAAAAAAAAAAATTATTATTATTATTATTATTTATTTGTTGCAGATGTGATATTGAAGGAAGAAGACAAAAATAATAATAATAATAATAATCAATCAATATTAAATCAACGGAAAGAAAAAATTTTTAATTAAAATGCATTAATTTTTTATATCCGAATGTAAAAAGAAAAAAAAAAAAAAAAGAATTCATGGGGAAAATGCACATAATCACAGGAATAATATTTTTAATGTGTGTGAGTCCCCTGGCAGACTCTAGCAGACGACAAAGAAGTCACCGCCATAATGGAAATCGTGACAGCGATGATAATTCGTTACAATCTATTCCTATCGGAGGGTAAGTTTTTGTTTTTGTTTTTTAAAAAAAACTTAATTTAAGATATTTGAAATCCGGGAAAAGTTTTTTGTTTACCCCCCATCGCCCCCCAAAGTTTTATTAGAAAATTCATTCGGGATAAACGCGACAATTCAATTTTTTTTTTTTTTTATCTGAAATGATTGTCGTCGACATTGAAATCCCCGTCAAATTTTCAAAAAAAAAAAAAAAAAAAAAAAAAAACGAATCAAATGAATCAAACACAAAAGAAATTATTGTTATTTCGTACATTTTAATTTATTTGCCATTTCCGGTTTCATTTTTTTTTTTTTTTTTTAAATTTTGGGCGCGGTTAACAATGGCGAATAAATTTTTTAATTATTGGCACAGCCTGGTTAAAAAATAAATAAATAAAATCAGTGGGAAAAAAAAAAAATTTCGATCGTTTTAAATGAGAAAAAAAAAAAAAAAAAAAAACTAAACGGAAAGAAAATAAAAAAAAACAAAATTGTTTCAACTTCCGGTCAGCTATATTCTCCATATGTTACGTAATCTCGTAATAATAATCTCATCCGGAAAACAATTCCGTTAAATTTAACCGGAAATAATAATTTATTATTATTATTATTGGGTTATTTTACGATAAAAAAAAATTTTTTTCAATAATTTATCGTGAATCGATATTAACACGATTCCATAGAGTAAATAAACATACTACTTATTCATCTTTTCATCTTGATTTCTGTTTATATATTTTTTCTTTTCGATCGTTAACAAAAAAACCGTTAACGAAAACACGGAGTCGAATTATTATTATTATTTTTTAAAATAATTTTACGCGGCATTCGAAATGAGAGTTAGGGGGAGGGGGAGGAGGAGGGGGGGAAATATATATATTTTTTAAAACATTATTAATTTTAGAGGCGACGATGACGTCAACGTCAACGTGAGAGATTTATAACACCTCACGATGATGATAGGTCGATGATCGTATTTATTTAAATTTATATATATTTATTAATTATGTTATACGAGAGAGAGAGAGAGAAAAAAAAAAACGGTTAAAAAAAAATAAAAATTTTACTTCGATAACATCGCGACACGATATTATTACGTTGCTGCCACGAAAAAAAATGAAATTTACTTTTGTTTGTACTAATCAACGTGCGGGGGGTGTGGTTGTTGAAACGGAAATTTAAATTTTTTTGTATAAAATTAATCGAGCACAAAACAATATAATAATAATAATAATAATGACGTCATCGTCGTCGTCGTTTTAAATAATTACAAATAATTTTATATGTAAGTTTTTCATTTTTTTTTTTTTTGTGTTGGTAATATCGTTCATGTCTTTTTGCATTAATTTTTAAAAAACTACTCACGTTAAATAAATAATAATAATAATAATAATAATAGTAATAATAATAATAATAATAATAATAATAATAATCAATAATATTAATAATAATAATAATCAATAATATTAATGTTGTCTGTGGTAAGAAAAAAACGAAATTGAAAATCCGTTGATAATCGGGGAGGTGGGGGGGGGGCAAAATAAATTGGAAAAGATAAAAAATCACATTATTATTATTATTATTATTATTATTATTATTATTATTATTATTGTTTATTGGAAAAAAAATTGTTTGAGGTTTTGTCATCAATGATTAATTATAAACAATTAATTAATCTTGTGTAAACTCGCCGTCAGTCCATCTGTCCATCCATTTCATGGAGGTCTTCTTTTCCATCGATGGCTTGGTTGTCTTATTTTTTTTGTTTCCGTTTGTTTTCGTTTGTTCTAAATATTTCGATTTATTTATTTATTTATTAGGGAACCCTTTCAAATTAATAACCGCCATCATTCATTTTTGATTATTCAATTTCAACCGTCCGATAAAAATTCTTTTGTTTTTTAATCACATGACTTGATCCGGTTTTGTTTTGTTTATGCTGTAGCAGCAGACGATGTTTGTTATTTTTATTAGCGCGTATTAGGGAATTTATTATTAAAAAAAAAAAAAAAACAATTGTTAATATTATTATTATTTTTATTAAAACAAAAAGATTATTAATTATTATTATTATTATATATGATTGAATCGTGGGCGTTTTCTAACAATTTTCCTTTTTCCAATCGATACGTTTTAATAAAAGAAAGAAAAAAAAATTTTTTTACGTTTTTTTCATTGTTTGGAAATTTTTAACGTTATGATGATAATGATGATAACGGTAAATTAAATGATGATGATGATGATGATGATGTTTAATCAGAAAATCGAAATAAATCAATGGCAAATACAATTGATTTAATTTTTTTTGTTATAAACGCCCTCGTTTAATACTAAATGATTGCGATTTCGGTTGAATGAATTTTTTTAAAATGTCGAAAGAATTTAAAATTATTCGTGAGAAGAGCATCTTCCCTTTCGTCGTATAATTTAATGGGGGGGGGTGTGTGTGTGTGTGTGGGAGGCATTGAATATGTTTACATTGTGATTGAGGGGCGGCACAATCAAAAGCCATCCATTTTTTTAGGAAAGGGAAAGTTGTTAGGGGAGGAAAAGGGTGTAAAGAATGAAAAAAAAAAATATTGGAAAAGATTCCTTTTTTTTTTTTGGTTCGTTTGGGATGATCTCGTTTGATCTCTGATTAAAAGGTCTTGACCGGTTGAAATTGAGACGATTCCCGAGCCTCCTATTAATCTCGCCATTAAATTTTTTTTTTTTTTTTTCAACGCTTTTATGTGTAATTAACCAAAACGTTTAACGTTTTATTTTGTACCGACATTATTTTTTCTTGGGTTGAACTTGTTGGGGAGTTTTTTTTTTTTATTTTAGGTTGGGTTTAAAATTAGGTAATTTTGTTTCGTCTTGTATCGCATTCATGTGAATTATCGATATGTTTACGGTTCTAATAAAATTTTTTTTTTTTTTTTCAACCGTCGTTAAAAAAACTTTTATTAACTTTTATTCTCAGGAAATTTTTTTTTTTTTTTTGTTTGTATTTACGCATTCAAAAGAAAAGAGAAAAAGAAAAGTGTAAAAGGATAAAACTTTTTTGATAGAAAGAGAGGAAAAGTTTTGAAGGACACAAATCACAAAAAAAAAAGTTTTCCACCGAAATAAAATTTTTTTAAAAATACATGACAGGTTCAAAGTGGGTGGGGGAGGGGGGGATGAAATAAGAATAATGTAGAATACAGCCATCAAGTTAAGTGCTCTAAGTCTGTCAAAACTTGTCTGTTTCTTTAGCTTCCCTCATTTTTTATTTTTTTATTTTTTTCTAAATAGTAAAAAGCCGCTTACCTATTTATTTTATATATTTAACTTATGACGTAAATACAGGTACCCAAGAAAAAAAAAACCCTTCCGAGTTTTGATTTCCTCATCATTCAATGTTTGTGGGTGGCCTACGTTCGTCTACACGCAAAATGTTTTGGTACTAGAAAGAACCAGGAACCCTTAAATACCGCTAAAGTAAATATAAAAAAAAAAAAAAAAAAGTAAAAAAATTTTTGTTTATTCACATCTGCATTCAAAAGGATTCATGAGGCCATTTTTATAAACTAACGATTTTTAAATAATTGTTTTGTTTTAATTTATTAAAAAACAACAACAACAACAACCGTATATGACCACTTGAAACATACCGAAAACAATTGTTTAAAAAACAAACAATTTATTTGTACATCTTAAAAATTAAACCGTTATTTTAATTAATTAATTAATTAATTAATAATAATTGAATTTGACGTAATTACAGACCAAACGTGTGTAGATCACGACACGATTCCAGGGCTCATTGTTGTCCAGGATGGACGATTAAAATATCAACAGGACTCTGTACCGTTCGTAAGTGTTTGTTTGTTTAATGAGATAAGGAAAATTAAAATTAACCGTTTTTATATTGTTTTTATTATTATTATTATTTTACCATCGTTACCAGCCATCTGTTCTCGATCATGCGGTACCGGTCGATGCATAAAGCCAAACATGTGCCTTTGCGAGGGTGGAACGTTAGGATTCACTTGCAAGAGTCCAAATTTAGGTGAATGAAGAAAAAAATGAAATTTCGGCAAATGAGATCGAATGGACCAACAAACGATTTTTTTTTTTTTCTCGTAGATTTTAGAAACGGAAATGGATTGAATGCCGGAAACGAAACGAAACAGGGTAACTTTACAAGTCAAAATGGAAATGAATTGGTAGTAAGATCTCATAAGAGAAATGAACAAAATGAAACTCAACAATGTAGAACATTTTGTTTGAACGGAGGAACGTGTCAGGGGTCCAAATGTATTTGTCCACCTGGATTTTCTGGAAAACATTGCAGCGAACGTATGATTTTTTTTTTTTTTTTTGAAGTACTGAATTAAAGTTAAAAAATGTTAAAACTTTTATTTTTCTTCTATTCAGCAATTTGTAGAGAGCCGTGTTTGAATGGGGGACGATGTATTGGACATGACAGATGTGCTTGTCCATACGGTTACACTGGTAGACGGTGTGAAGCAGGTAATTAAAAATGTTTAAATTATTTCAACGTACCTGAGAAACCAGTAAAAAATGATAATTTTTTTTGTATCACGAAAGATTATAGGACGGGACCTTGTTATACCATTGTTAAAAACGACATGTGCCTTGGACAGTTGGAAGGTATCGTGTGTACAAAAAATTTATGCTGTGCCACAGTCGGAAAAGCATGGGGACATCCTTGCGAACAATGTCCCACAACATTGGATTGCGATCAGGGATATCTTAAAAATATTCACAGTCAGGAGTGCTTAGGTAAAAAAAATTTATCTGCATTGATAAGAAATCATTAAAAAATTAAATTATTGATTCAATGAGTTTCTGTTAATTTCAGATGTTGATGAATGCGAAGCCATACCTGGATTATGTTCCGGAGGCAGATGTCTTAATACCATAGGTTCTTTTACTTGCGAGTGTCCCGAAGGCCAAGCCAGGGGGCTAACAACAAATCGATGCGAAGACAGAGACGAATGTCTTATTCCTAACGTTTGTTTAGATGGTCGTTGTGTAAATACAAATGGCAGCTATTATTGCGTTTGTAATCCAGGATTTATTCCAAGTCAAGACCGTAAAACTTGTCTAGGTAAAAAAAATAGAAGAAATTTTCTAAATTTTCATAATGGCACGGTTGGTGTAATTTTTTTTTTTTTGATTTTAGATGCAAGGCAAGGAAATTGTTTTACAACTTTGGGTTACAATGGCGAATGCCAAAATCCGTTAAATATTAAATTATCGAAAAAAGATTGTTGCTGTGGCGTAAACATGGGTAGAGGATGGGGTGAAGAGTGTGACATTTGTCCAATGGCAGGAGAAGGTAGAAAAATTAAAAAAAAAAAAAAAAAAAAAAAAAAAAACAAGATTTAAAACCTTATTAATTGTTTTTTTTTTGTTCATAGAGGAATTCAAACGTTTATGTCTTGAGGTTCCCGTTGTTATTTCATCAAATGGCAGTAGTTCAGGTTCATTTGATCCATACCTAATTAACGAATGTGCTCTTCGTCCTACTATATGTGGAGGGGGTAAATGCATAGATACCGTTCACGGTTATGATTGTGAATGCTTTCCAGGTTACTTATTAAGCAGCTCTCATATATGCGAAGGTACGTAAAAAATATTACAATTATAATTTAATACTTTGTGTAACAGGACAATAAATTTTAGATATTGACGAATGCCGGGACCGAGGTTATTGTCAAGGAGGAAGATGTTTGAATACTCCAGGTTCTTTTCAGTGTAATTGCCCTGTAGGATATGACGTTTCTTCAGATGGAAAATTTTGTATTGGTAATGATTGTTACAATACCTGGGGACTGATTTTGAAATGACAAAAAATTAAAATTCAAAAAAATTTTTTTTTAAAGATCACGATGAGTGTCAGCAGAACGGAATGTGCGCTAATGGCGTATGCGTCAACATGAACGGAACGTTTACGTGTAAATGTCACAAAGGCTTCGTTTTATCACCCACGGGACATTCATGCGTCGGTAGGTGTTTCATTATTTTTCAGTATCTTTACAATAAATTTTAATTTCATTTTGAATAAAATTGTAGGAAAAATAACATTTCAGATATTGATGAATGTTACGAAAATCCGCGAATATGTCTTAATGGCCGATGTCAAAACGTACCAGGATCTCATAGGTGCATCTGCCTTCCTGGTTTCACCCTATCTGAAGACGGAACATTTTGTATAGATAAGGATGAATGCGCAGAAACGGGAATGTGCTCAAATGGAAAATGTATTAATGTCGATGGTAGTTTTACGTGTGTTTGTGACTCGGGTTTTCGTTTAACACCCGATGGTAAAAAATGCGTAGGTAATAAAACAATAATAAACTGTTACGAATTGAAATTTTGAAGCGATGCGCATGGTAAAAAAAAAATTAATTGTTATAGATATCGACGAATGTGTATCCAATCCGTGCCAGCACGGGACTTGCGTCAATACGCAGGGAAATTTTCAATGCACTTGTTCCCAAGGATTTAATTTAGGCCCAGATGGACGGTCCTGTATTGATAATAGTAAAGATTTATGCTATTCACAATTTAAAGACGGCCAATGTTACAATCCCATGTCTAATCCTGTGACGAAATCGAGTTGTTGTTGCTCAGGAAGTCATTATCAAAACTTCGGATGGGGTACTCCTTGCCGACAATGTCCCATTTTTGGAAGTCACGATTATCTACAGCTTTGTCCTCATGGACCTGGAATGTCTTACAGTGGAGTTGGTAGTGTTTCAAAAAAATTTTTTTTACACAATTTCCCATTGAAATCTTTACTTATAAAAATCATTCATTTTATTTTTAAGATATAAATGAATGCGCGCAAAATCCAAACATATGTGAAAATGGTGCTTGCGAAAATATATTTGGCGGCTACAGGTGTATTTGTAATCCAGGTTATCAGATTGATATAACTGGAAAAATTTGTCAAGAAATAAACGAATGCGAAATCGAAGAAAAAGTTTGTGCTGGTGGACAGTGCAAAAACACTCCAGGAAGTTTTCAAGTAAAAAAAAAAAAATCTTTTTAAATTTGAAATTAGGCAACAAATCGTAAATAATTAATTAATATTTTAGTGCATTTGTCCGGTTGGTCTAGAATTAAATCCCCATAGTCAAGTTTGTGAAGATATAGATGAATGTTTTAATCTCGGTAAGGAAGCATGCCTTAATGGTAAATGCATAAATACTATCGGGTCATATGAATGCCACTGCCCACTTGGATCTATTTTGGATAACACTGGAAGAATTTGCATCGGTGAGTTATTTTTTAATAATAACACTAATTTTTAAATAAACGCTTATTTTTGTATTTTTTTTTTTTTTTTTACTCTATGAAATTTATTTTAGATAATCAAAAAGGTTCCTGTTGGACGAGAATGATAGGAGGTCAGTGTGAAAATAACCTTCCGAGACCTACTTTAAAAAAGGAATGCTGTTGCTCCGTAGGCGTGGCATGGGGCAGCCCTTGCGAAAGATGTAATCTAAATGAATGCGATTGTTTAAAAGGCTATGCTAAAGTTGATGGAAAAACTTGTACGGATATTAATGAGTGCGATATAAATCCTGGTATTTGCAAGGGGGGAGGAACGTGCGTAAACACTGAGGGAAGCTTCACGTGTGTTTGCCCCCAGGGTCTTACTTTAGATTCCACAGGTAGTTAAATTTATTCTCGGAGAAAAATAATTACGACATTCTATGATACGATAAAAATTTTAGGTACATTATGCACGGATACCAGGGTAGAAGAATGTTATACTGATTTTAAAAACGGAATAGGTTTAAATCCTATTGAAGGACGATACTCAAAAGCCATTTGTTGCTGCACATCTGTTGGGAAAGCTTGGGGTTCGGCTCAAATCGAACAATGTCCCAGACCGGGTACGGTAGCTCATCGAGAATTGTGTCCTCGAGGTTCTGGATATATCGACAGAAAAGATGTAAACGAATGTACTCAATTCCCTAAACTGTGTGAAAATGGTAGATGCAAAAACACTATTGGAGGATATTCTTGCAGGTGTAATCAAGGATATGCTTTAGATGAAAACGGAATTAAGTGCATAGGTAAATTCTAATAAAAAAAAAATATTTTTTAAAACTTTTTAAAAAATTTTAAAAACAATTTAGAGACAATGTTTAATTTCAGATATCGATGAATGTGAAATATTGCATGGAATTTGCGGAGAAGGAACGTGTAAAAATATTCCAGGTTCTTTTAATTGTGAATGTAATCCCGGATTTGAAAACACAATGATGATGCAAACTTGTGTCGGTGAGTTTTTTTTTTTTTTTTTTATTGAACTCGGTTTTGATGATTATCAAATGTTAAAATCCGTGTGGCAGATATAAACGAATGTGAAAAAACTTTTGGACTTTGTCGGGGTGGAAAATGTATAAACACTGAAGGCTCGTATAAATGCGAATGCCCTCCTGGCCATGAGTTGTCTCCAGATCAACAATTTTGCAAAGATATAGACGAATGTTCTAGATCCAGTGGCATTTGCAGCAATGGCGTATGCGAAAATATGATGGGAACGTATCAGTGCGTTTGTAATGATGGTTACGAACAAACGGATTTAAAATCACATTGCGAAGGTTTGTTGCGAATCATTTTATTTATTGTTTTATTATTATTATTACCATAAGAAGGATGTCCTTAATATTTAAAAAAAAAAAATCAAAAAATGTAAATTAAATTTATAGACATTGATGAATGCTCTATTAGAAATGGGGGTTGTGAAGACATTTGCCAAAACACTCCTGGAAGTTTTTCCTGCTCTTGTAGGTATGTGTTACTTTAATATCATTTGAAACAAATACGTGGCATTGCTTTTAAATAATAATTTGTTTCGTTTATATTTCGTTTTAGCCCAGGATATACTTTATTATTGGATGGTAGATCGTGCGTTGACGTAGACGAATGTAAAACAAATCGTAGAATATGCAACGGGGGAAACTGTACGAATACGCAAGGAAGTTATACGTGTCATTGTAAAGATGGACTATTACCTGGTCCAGGATTAACTTCTTGCATAGGTGAAAATCATAATTTTTTTTTTTTTTTTTCTAATCAAATTTGAAAGCGTTAATGTAATTTAAAGTGAAAGGTAAACATGGATTCTATTTATAGATGTAAACGAATGTGAAATCGATCCTAATCTCTGCGGAAACGGTAAATGCGAAAACATACTGGGCTCGTATGTTTGTAGATGCGAGGACGGTTATACCATAACGCCGGGAAGAACCGGATGTCACGATTTAGACGAGTGCGAAATAGGTAGTCATAATTGCGATCCGAACGCTCACTGTATTAATAATCCCGGAAGTTATGAATGTGCTTGTCTGGATGGATTTACGGGAAGCGGAGAAATTTGTCGGGATATAAACGAATGCTTGACAAATAACGGAGGTTGCGATGAAAATGCTCAATGTATTAACACCGTTGGATCTTTTAAGGTAATTTTTATTCCTTCTTTTTTTATAGAAATGTAACAAATCATACAAAGCAAAAAATTTTTTTTATTCTAGTGCGAATGTGACAGCGGTTTTAAGGGAGACGGTTATTCCTGTCAAGACATTGATGAATGTACTAATGACATAACTCTGTGTGAAAATGGTCATTGTTTAAATTATCCGGGTTCTTTCCGCTGTGAATGTGAAATGGGTTTTATGCATCCTGATGATAAAAACGATCAATCTTGCAGAGGTATTAATCAATACAAATCAATCATTAATTATAATAATATATAAATAATAATAATAATAATTTTCTTTAAATCGTTTAGATATAAATGAATGTGAAATGTTTAATAACTTATGCCTCAATGGAAAATGTGAAAATATATTTGGAATGTTTCGATGCGAATGTAATGAAGGGTATCAAATAGACAACACCGGTGGAAATTGTACCGACATAGATGAATGCGAGAGCCCGCAAGCTTGTTTATATGGTACTTGTATCAATACTCAGGGAAGTTTTCACTGTCAGTGCCCTCCGAATTACGAATTGGTACCTTCCGGAAACGGGTGTGTCGGTATGTTTTGTAAATTTTCATAATACTTTCAAAGCAAAAAAAAAAAATTAGAATTAAATTAAATAAATTACAGATACGAGAACGTCGAGATGTTACTTGCAAGTCGAAGAAAGAAACGGACGATTTCGTTGTCTGAAAGAAATGGGAGAACCAATTAACAAAGCGTCTTGCTGTTGTTCAATAGGAAAAGGATGGGGACCCAGATGTGAACTTTGTCCTTCTCCTAATAGCGAAGAGTACAGGCAATTGTGTCCGGGAGGTACGGGATATCGCCCTAATCCAGAAACGGTAAGTTTATTAACTTTTACGTATTTTGAAAAAAAAAAAAAATGGAATTATAATTAATTTTGTTTCTTCATCATCGGTGGAGTAAAAAAAAAATCTGTAGAAAACACATTTTTTCAGGTAGTACTCGAAGACATAAACGAATGTTTAGAACATGCGAATTTATGTACAAACGGTCATTGTGTAAATACTTTCGGAAGTTTTATGTGTAGTTGTAATGATGGATTCAGGCTTGATAGCGTGAAAGCCATTTGCGTTGATGTAAACGAATGTCAAGAAATGCCAGACATTTGCGGAGTAGGATTCTGTATAAATGACGATGGGAGTTATCATTGCGTTTGTCCGGAAGGTTTTATGCTCTTGCCGAACGGCAGTAAGTTTATTTATAATTGATTTATAAGTACAACTGTATTCATAAACTTCTTTTCGTAATTCATAAAAATTATTCATCGCAGAAGAATGCTTGGACACTAGAAAAGAAATATGCTACATGCATTATAATGAAGAAGGTTGTACTCACCCAATGTCACACGAACAAACTCGAATGGTTTGTTGTTGCTCTATGGGAGAAGCTTGGGGTAGTCCTTGTAAGCCTTGTCCAGCGGCTGGAACTAGTAAGTACAGCTTAAGTTGATAAAAAAATAAAATTTTTGTAAAAATTTATAAAAATTAATTTTTTAACAGGAGAGTATTTATTACTTTGTGGAACAAGACCGGGACAAATCATCAATCCTATGACGAATCAAACAGAAGAAATAGACGAATGTTTACTTATGCCGACAATGTGTAATCACGGGACTTGTATAAATACGCCGGGAAGTTTTGAATGTCTTTGCGATAGGGGTTACGTTTACGATGAAAACAGTCATCAGTGCATAGACGATAATGAGTGTTTAAGAGTACCCAATCCTTGTCTTGATAACGCACAATGCGTAAATTTTCCTGGAAATTTTGAATGTCAATGTCCGGAAGGATACAAACAAGATCCTAGCATGCGCGGTTGCGTAGGTACGTTAAAAAACAAAAATTTCTTCTCACGATTTAAAAATCATTTATTAAAAATAAATTTTTTTTTCAGACATTGATGAATGTTCAGAAAAAAGTTTTATTTGTCAAAATGGCGAATGTAATAATTTCCAAGGTAGTTTTCAATGTGTTTGCTTACAAGGATATCAATTAACTCCGTTCAGAGATAATTGTGTCGATATTGACGAATGTCAACGTCATCCTAATACTTGTAATAATGGCACATGCATGAACTCGGTAGGATCGTATAGCTGCCATTGCTATCTGGGATTCAAACTCAGTCCGAACAATGATTGCATAGGTAATTTTAATTTTATATTTCTTTTTTTTTTTTTTTTGAATTCGAAACAAAACTTTATATATATATATCATTCAGACATAGACGAATGTAGAACGATGCCTTTCCTGTGTCGTAATGGAAGATGTCGTAACACAATAGGATCATTCACGTGTGATTGCGTAGATGGTTACACAATGACGTCAGATGAAATGAATTGTCGTGACGTCGATGAATGCACCGAGGTAAAAAAACACAAATTTGATTTTTTTTTTCCCCCCAATGGAGGATACCCTATAATTTTTTTTCTGTTTTTCAGCATCCAAATCCGTGTCAACATCCAGGAAAGTGTCAGAACCTAATGGGATCATACACATGCCTTTGTCCCACAGGATATAAATCAATTAACAATAACACGGCATGTGTAGACATTGACGAATGCGTTGAAAACGAAGGAACTTGCGAGGATGGAACTTGCATTAACACGGATGGAAGTTTTAGATGCGATTGTCCGGATGGTTTTATCGTTAGTTCTAATGGAATGAAATGCATTGACATACGAAAGGATTTTTGCTACGATCAATTTTACAGGGGTGAGTAAATTTTATTTTATTTTTTATTTTTTTTTGTTAGCATTAATAATTACAATGGCTTCAAAGCTTGTACCACCCTTATTATATCACTTGAAAAAGTCATTTCTCATATCAAATGTGCCACATTCAATGCTTTTGTTTTTTTTTTTTTTTTTTTTTTTTTGTTTATTGACCAGAGCTGTTTACTACTTATTTAACTGTTGTATTGTCGTGCTTTACAGCCTCAACGGATGATATTATACCTGAAGGTAATGTTTGTCCGATTATTTTATATGCCTGTTTTTCATTGGTAAATTTATCCTTAATAAATCTTTGTTATTTAAAAAAAAACAAATTAACTCATATTTTAAAATTGTTTGGAATAAATCGAATAAATTGCTTTTGCAAAATTATTCAGCTATCAAAAATTTTTGCCATTTGCATATTAATTTTTTATCATTTTAATTGCTTTTGCGAAAGGTGAAAGATTATGGCGGCATGATATCATTTTAATATTACTAAATTGCATTGAAAAATTAAATTATAAAATTATTATTATTATGATTTTATTAATTGTGACGATTGTTTTTTTTTTTTTTTTTTAAAGGAATTTGCGATACGCCTAGAATGGAATTCATAAGCGTTAAGGAATGTTGTTGTTCGATGGGAAAAGCCTGGGGAAAGAATTGCGAACAGTGTCCTCCGGAAGGTTCAGGTACATAATGAATCAAATGGTATCAAAACCTTGTTTTCGACATGTTATCGAACGCTTAATAATTTTTTTTTAGATGCTTTTAATAAACTTTGCCCACAAGGACCTGGACGTGGAGATACGGGCGGAGACATAAACGAATGCGAATTCATGCCGGACGTGTGCGAAAACGGAGATTGCATTAATACCGACGGGTCTTTTAGGTGCGAATGTCAACCTGGATTCGTTTTGGATTCAACCGGAAAACGTTGCATTGGTAATCTGTAAATAAATTTAACAAGATTAAAACGAATGAAACGAAATTTAAAAAAAAAAATCATCATAAAAAAAAATGACGTTTGGTTTTTTCTAGACGATAACGAGTGCATGTCGAATGTTAACATTTGCGGAAATGGTACCTGCACTAACATAAAAGGAAGTTTTGAATGCGCTTGCAATTCCGGTTATTCACCCGGTCCTCTTCAATCCTGTGAAGATATTAACGAATGCAAAGAAATGGGATTGGGAAATCAGTGTGCGTTCAGGTGTCATAACGTGCCTGGTTCGTTCAGGTGTATATGTCCTTATGGATATTCTCTGGCACCTGATGGAATGCATTGTCAAGGTTAAAAACGGATAATTATTTTAATATGTGCATTTAAATCGCGCAAAAAGTAATTTGAAAAAAATATTTTAATAGATGTGGATGAATGTGCCACGCCAGCCAACAATTGCCGATACGCATGTAAAAATTTAATAGGATCATTCATGTGTGTTTGTCCGAAAGGCTATCAACAGGTCGGTGTGCAAGACGAATGCAAAGACATCGATGAATGCAGTTCTAATTCCCGTCTTTGTTCAAATGGGATTTGCATTAATTTCGAAGGAGGTTATCGTTGTGAATGTTTATCAGGTTTTGTCCCAAATCATGATAAAACGGAATGCATCGGTGAGTTTGTAAAAATGGTCACATTATTCATAACCTAAACGTCTGTTCTAAAAAAAAAAAAATTATTTTTAAGATAAAAGGGAAGGACATTGTTTTCATCAATTGGTATCCGGTCGATGTCCTTCGCCCACCGACGATTTTAATCCGGTGACAAAAGCAGATTGCTGTTGCAGTATGGGAACAGCGTGGGGACCTCAATGTGAAATATGTCCGAAAAAAGGGACTCCAGAATACGATGAATTATGTTTGGAATCTGGATTTTCGATCGACGGTCAAGGTGAATAATTTATTTACAATTAATGAGAATTTGATTTTTTTTTAAACTCAAACACGAATGAAATTTTACTTTCAGACATTAACGAATGTTTGGCGATACCAAACTTATGTAAAAACGGTAGATGCACTAACACACTCGGATCTTATAAATGCATTTGTAATAAAGGATATCAAACGGATGTGACTGGAACTCGATGCAAAGGTAAATCTATTCGAGGAGGTGTGTAAAAATTTAATAAAATTAAGTAAAATAATAATAATAATAATTAAAATGGTTAAATTTAGACGTAAACGAATGTGATCAACCGTCTTCACCTTGTCAATTTACCTGCACGAACACAGACGGATCATACGTTTGCTCTTGTCCTTTCGGATACATTCTTAATCCCGACGGGACGACTTGTAGAGATATCGACGAGTGCAATACGGGACAACACGTGTGCACTCACGAATGCATCAATACACCCGGTTCCTACTATTGCGGTTGTCCCAAGGGATTTAATCATTCTGATGACAAATGCTTAGGTGAGTCCGATCGTGTTCAAACAACAAAGTACCCACCTGCTGTAAATACAAAATATTAATAATTTTTGTTTTTTCTAGATATAAACGAATGTGAAACTCCAGGGACTTGTCCTCCTCCAGGACGTTGCATGAACACGATCGGAAGTTTTAATTGCATATGTCCAAGAGGTTTCAAATTGGATTCGACGAAAACGCGATGCGTCGATCAGGATGAATGTTTGGACGATTCCAAATGCAGCACACGTTGCAAAGTATTTTTTATTAAAGTTAAAGTCAAATCGAGACGTGGCACGAGTTTGTAAAAAAAAAAAAAATTCAAATCAAAACCTTTTTCAGAATTCGATCGGTGGATATAAATGCGGATGTCCCGAAGGTTACGTTCCTCATCACTATTACAATCAATGTTTAGATGAAAATGAATGTTTATCAAGTCCGTGCGGAGAAGCTGCTTGTATCAACACGTTAGGTTCTTATAAATGCGGATGCCCTCAAGGTTTTCAATTTGATGGTAACAGTCACTTATGCATTCAAGTAAGGAGTCAAAAAAAAAATTTTCCTTTAAAAGATTTTCCTCAAAGAGTTGAAAATCATTTTTTCTTTCCTTCCATTTTAACTCCGCAGATTTCTTTATCCTGTTTGGGGAGTCCATGTTTGTTCGGTTGCGTTCAAGATGGTGCCAACGGTCCTCTTTGCAGTTGTCCAAACGGTTACAGAACCGTCGGACAAGGACACTGTTTATCGACAATCAATCAAATCTCTGGCGCATATCCACAAAATGGTTTTAACGTTTACGATTCCGGTCAACAACCTCCCCTATACGTTCCAGAAGATTATTCTTCGACGAATGCGAAGGGTAAAAAATATCTGTCGACCGAGGGATGTTTTTCCTGCAGGGTGAGTTTATTAGTTTTAAACTTACCATTTTTCGTTCGAGTTGTTAAAAATTAAAAATTAAAATTATTTATTTATTGTGTTTTGAAAGGTCGGAGCGAGCAGACATCGAAGATCCATGAGAATGGTTAACGGTAAAAAAATATACGGACCTCTAGTGACGTTGAATTCTACGGTTTGGCTACAGAAATCAAACAGAAAATCAAAAGGGAAAAAATTAAAGAAAACGAAAAGGCATCAACAACAGCATTTGTTGGAAAATGAATTTTTAGCTTTAAGAGTTTCACTATCGCAAACAAAACATAAAATGAGAATAATTAAAATTCAACCTGCCGTTAAGGTACGGGCAAAATTTATTATTATTATTATTATTATTATTTCATTTTCACGCGCAATTCAATCATCTGTTAATTTTTTTTTTTTTTTTTCTAGAAAAATGTCGAATACGTAATAAAAAAAGGAAACGAACACAATCAATTGGAATTGATAAAGAAACGAGGGATTTGGGGTTTGCATTTTAAAAAAAGGCTCAAATCCCCGGAGATATTCAATCTCGAGATAGAAGGACAAAGTTCGGATATTGAAAATGATGAAGAAGTTTGGGAAAAACCGTTAATATTACGCATTTATCTACAAGTCACATAATAATGCTTTAAATTTTTCCTCGTTTTTATTATTATTATTATTATTATTATCATTATTATTATTAGTATCATTATTATTATTATTATTATTATTATTATTATTATTATTATTATTATTATTATTATTATTATTATTATTATTATTATTATTATTATTTAGTTACAAATAATTATCTTTAAAAAAAAAAAAAAAAAAATTCGTCATGTAATTTTTTCGCGAAACTTTTTAAAATGTAAATAATAAATAAAAGTTTTTAATTACTCTATGATTTTTTCCGCGATAGAGGGAGGGAGAGAGAGAAAAAGCGCGGGAAAATAAAATCGCGCCTTTTATTACAGTTACACTGCCATTGTGTCATGACGCGTTGACAAGTACACACATGCACACATATTTTTATAGTTTTATATAAGTTTTTTTTTAGTTTTTCTTTTTTTTCTTTTTGTGTCGAAAATAAAATGTTTGAAAGTGAAATTAATGAAATATGATAAATTATACAATAATTTTAGAAAATATATATATATATATATATATATAAAAATAAAATAAAAAAAGTGTTGGTGTAAATTAGAATATTGAAACTCTTTGGAATTTAACCGCCATTATGTACAGTTAGAAAATATAAAAAAGAAATTAAGGTAAAAAGTTTTTTAGTTTTTTTTTTCACTTCTTCTTCTTTATTAAAGTAGATTGATGTGTAACGAACGTAAAACGCACTCACACGCACACACACAAAAATGCGTACGTATATATATATGGATTTTTTAAATGTAGTTTTATAATTTTGACCGTTAAATTTCAAAAATGTCGAATCAATCGCTCCAATATATACATATATAGGTCAATTTTTTTTCTTTTTTTAAACGAGTATCGATTTTTATATTCAAAAAAAAAGCAAAAAAGTTAAAATTAAATAAAAAAAAGTGAAATTTTAGAACAAATAATACTAATAATAATAATAATAATAATAATAGTAATAGATTGTTAATTTTTATGTCACAGTATTATAAACGACACGAGAAAAAAAAAATTATATAATTTTAATTAATTAATTAATTTTTTTAATGAAATATATACATTTTTTCGTTTATGAATATAAAATAAATTTAAAAAAAAAAAAAAAGAAAAATTTTTTTTCGGTTTTTTTTCTCTCTCTCTCTCTCTCTCTCTCACATTCTTTGATTGAACGAATATGAAATTGAAATTAACGGTCATCGTTGTCGTCGTCGTCGTCGTCGTCGTCTTCGTCTTAGATCGTCGTCGAGATAAGAAAAAAAAAGAGATAACCGAAGAGTTCCGAAGAAGAGGTAAGAGTGATTACGTAATAGAAAAATTGTGACGTAAGCAATTACGAAAAGGGTGTCTTGTAGTTTCTCGTGAAATCTCGAGAATTGCGAGAGAGACGCGCGCGCGAGAGGACGAGTATGACACATTTTTATTACATTTGTTGTTATTAATTTTTTTTTTATTTAAAAAAAAGGTTTTATTTAAATAATTTAGTTTTCTTTTTGTTTTTTTTTGTTTTTATCACTCTCGGACAAAGTGAAATTTTTCAAGTAATAATTCTCAACTATGTGGAAAAAAAAACAAAATAAAATGTTTAAAAAATGAATGTGTGAGAAACAATGGGGGTGACAAAAGACGTTTGTTTGTTTTAAATATAATTTTTCAGTCGGTTTCAACTGGTGGCTAAATATTATTTGTTTTTTCTATTTTATATATATATATATATATTCTCTCTTTAATTATATATATATATTTAATTGTGTGTTTAATTTTATGATAATATAAAAAATATTTAATCGTGCCATATAATCACTGAATCGATGGTTAACTTGAGCCATTGTAAGTTTTTTTCTCACATTAAAATTAAATTTTTTTTTTTTTTTTTTTTTCGGTTTCTGAACGTGTAACGGTCGTACGCGTTAAAGAATTTACCTTGGGAAGGATAAGACGGGGGAGGGGAAGATGGGAGGGGGGAGAGAGTGAGAGGGAAAAAATCCATCGATAATTTTCCTTTTTTTTTTTTTTTTAACGGTTTTTAATATATATATATATATTATATATATAATTTATTTAATTTAATTTATTTTTTATTATATAAAAAAGAAAAAGGGAAAGAAATCTTAGTCGATTCGAATAAAAAATAAATAAAGTTAGTCGTGGAATTAGAAAGAGTGGAAAAAAAAAACAAAAAAAAAAAAAAAAAAAAACGTTCCGGAACGTAAATTGTTTATTTATTTGTTTATTTATCAGAGAGAGAGAGAGAGAGAGAGAGAGAGAGAGAGAGAGAGAGAAAATGGAGAATGAAAAAAAAAAAAAAATTAAAATGTATTAATATTTTTTTGTATTTTTTTTTCAGGCACGGTTGCGGTATTTGCAACTTTATTAGTTGCCGTTCAAGTTAACTGTAATACAGGATGTTATTTTGATTTCGATCATGGAAATGGTGCAAAGGATTACAATCTGGAATGTAACAATATAAAAAATTCATGGATAACAACAGGGGATGATCAAAAAGGTAACAACAATGGTGAAAGTAAAGGATTTGCACTCGAGGAAGATGTCGGCGGTTGTATAAAAACATCATCACCGGTAAGTGTTTTAATAAATTTTCTTTCTTTTTTTTTTTTTTTTTTTTTTTTTCGTTGTTTTGTTTCGTCGACAGCAACAACAACCGTTTGTTTTTTTTTTCTACTATTTGTTTTTCATTATTCCTCCTTTATCCTAACCTAACCTCATTAACCTTCACAATCTTTTCTTCTTTTTCTTTTCCAAAAAAAAAAAAAAAAAAAAAAAAAAAAAATTCCAGGTAGTTTTAAATTCATCAACCACCGTACGTGTAACATTTAAAAAAACAAACATGAATGAAAATGATGTTTTATTTACTGTGACATTGGTACCCCAACAAGAAGGAGGAGATTCATGTTCATCACCCGAAGAGTGCAAATGGATTGTTAAAAAAGATGATAAAATGATGGCCGACGAATGGAACACGGTTAATAAGAAATTCCCATTGAAGAATAATATACCATACTATGTACATAAATCATTTAATTATTATTATTATTAGTAGTATTGATTGATTGATTGTTTAACATTGAGGATTTTGATTGAAAAACGACGTTTTCCCCCCCTTTTTTTTTTTTTTTATTGCATTTCCACTTGAAGATTCAATTGGATGTTGGTAAAAGCAAAGGAAAATTCGAATTGAAATCGATCAACGTGCCGGATGTAGAAGGAAACAAATGCAAGAAAATTGATTCCCTCATTAACGATTCGATAATACCGGCTAAATTAGTTCAAGAAGTTGAAGGTGAAACATCACCGGCTTCAAGTACAGAAGGAGGTGGCGATTCCGGTAGTAAATCAACAACACCAGGCGCGGCTCCAGGACTTATGAAAATCAGTAAAAATTTACTGATCACAACGGCATCCATATTTTTATTGAATATTTTATACATTTAATTTAATTTTTTTTTTTTTTTTTTTTTTTTTTTTTTAAATTTTATTCTTTTTTAATTTAAGTTTTTTTTTTTTTTTTCCCATTTTTTTTTTCTTTCTTTTTTTTTTTTTTTTTTTTTTTTTTTTTCGGAGAAGGGGGGACGTCAATAAGGAAAAGGAAAATCAACAAAACAAAACAAAACAAAAAAATTACAAAAAATGAAAAATCAACAAAAAAAAAAAAAAAAAAATTTTTTTTTTTTTTTTTTTTAGGGAAAACAAATTATTAGACTTCGTTTAAATTTTTATACGGGAGAGAGAAAGAGAGAGAGAGAGATAGATAGAGAGATAGAAAGAAAGAAAGAAAGAGAGAAAAGCATAAAGAAAGAAAAAAAACTACAGGTCTTTTTTTTTTTTTTTTTTTTTTCTTCTACTTCTTCTTTTTCTTCTTCTTCTTCTTCTTCTCCTCTCCCTTCCCTTCCTCCTTCCGCACAGACGCACACACACACACATACACACACACTCACACACACACACACACACACACACACATCTCCCCAATTTTTTTGTGGAAAAAAAAAAAAAAACAAATAATGAAATTATTTATTGGATTTTATTGATTGATTTTTATTATGTGACCTGTTAATAAATTTTACTTTTTTTTTTTTTGTTTCGAAATCGATTTTTAATTTTTAAACACCCTCCCCCTCTCCCCCCCCCCAAAAAAAAAAAAAAACTACCTCACTTTAAAAAATTTCCATTGTATATCCTTTCCAAAAAAAAATGGAAAACAATAAGGAAAATTATGTATGTTAAAAAAAAAAACAAACGGTTATAAAATTTATTATTATTATTATTATTGTTATTGTTAATGTTATTAAAGCCTTAAAATAATTTGTTGCATGTAAGAAATATGAATTTTTTGTTGTTGTTGTTGTTGTAAATACTGATAAACGTTATATTTAAATTTTGTGCACGTTGGACGCCATTTTGTCTACTACGGTTGTGTAAACGTTTGCCGCCGATTTTTCCTTTGAGATTTATAATATAGATAATTTGTTATAGGAATCGTTTTTGCCGTCGATTTATTATCGATCGATTCGTCGTAATCGTTTGAATTCGATTTGTTGTTACGGATTTTAAAATTCGATATGGATGATGATGATGATGATGATGATAATTCTTCCACATCTCCGGTTCCCCTAAAATTTTTTTTCGTTTTGTCTTTTTTTTTCTTTTTGATTTTTTTATTTCTCCTGTTGTTGAATGTTTTCCTGCTGACGTCACGGTTGTTGTTGTTGTTGTTGTTTACATTGCCGTATATTATTTTTAACGTTTCGTTACTTTTTCTCAATTCGTGTCTTATTTTTTTACCCTTTTTCTCTAACGTTTTCAACCATTCGCAATTCGTCGCGTTTCGACTCGCGTTGTCCGATGACAATTCCGTGCAATTGATTTCGGATTCGGTGAAACCGTTTTCGAAACGAACGGATGATGCCGGTCCCCCGTCGGATTTTAAACTGTTTTTTTCCGGGGATCCGCATGGGGGAAGATTCGGACAGGGCTCTTGTTCGTACGGTTTTTCCTGTCCCTTGCACTGCACATCCGGCAAAGCCATTATTTCCTCTTCCAAAAACTCTTTCATAAACGTTTTGTCATCTTTTTTGAATTGTTGCTGTTCTTCTTCTTCTTCTTCTAAATATTGTTTGAGTGATTTTTTATTTCTCGTTTCCGATTCTAAATATTCGATTCCGCCGTGGTGACGTAAATTCGGAGGTTGAGTGTAAACCAAGGGCTCTTGATCGATTTGTTCTATGCACAAAACCGTTCTTTTACGTAATATTTTTGGATATTCACCGCACGTTGCCGGACATAGTTGCCACGGACCCGTCCACCACCTGAAAAAGACGGAAAAATTTTCTTTTTTTTTTTTTTTGTATAAAAATCAAAAACACCACGCGCGGGTAAAAATAAATTCTTCGACATTTTCACCTCGTCGGACAATGTTGAGTGTTGCAAACTCTCATTTTCTTATCCGGTTTTTTATCCTTTTCGCATTTTCCATCGTCTACTATTCCGAAAGTTCTTTCTTTGCAAACCGGAAATGACATTTGATGACCGCTACCGCAGGATACGGAACACGATGACCATTCGGAAAAATACCATTCGTATTCTCGTTCGGTTGCCGCCGTGGGTTTTGATATCGTGTAATTATATGTGATTCCCATGTTTTTAAATTTTCCCCGGTATATTATCTATCGAAATAAAACGAAAAAAAAAAAAAAATGACGCGGACGATAATAATAATAATAATAATACCGAAAAAATTTAAATTACGTATATGACGATGTCTTCTTTTAACGGTCCGGGAATGTGTATCCGTTCCGTATCTTTTTCTCTTTCGTACAATCCGATAGATCCAGCTATTTCGTATTCTCCGGAAAGAGTTATTTCCCTAAAATTATCATTATTATCATTATTATTATCATTATTATTATCATTATTATTATTATACTTTTTTTTTATATATTACAAAACGTACAATTTTCCGTTTAAATAAAATTTTTCACTCGTTGCACTTCCGATTCCCAAATAATTTTTTGAACTTTTCAATTCTTCTACGTAAACGTTTCGAGCTCCCGAGGGAATTATAACAACTTCCGTGTAACCTTTAATAAAAAAAAAAAAAAAAAAAAAAAATTTTACGTGAGGGGGGAAAACTCTTTTCAAACGATGATTAAATTTCTTACCGGAACCGGAACTCGTGTTGTAAATTCCGGATATCGTATCGCATTGCTCTCCGTTTCCCAAACATATTCCGCATTTGTCTTCTTTAGCATCCGAATCAACCATCCAGTCGCATCCGACTTTCTAAAAGATCACCGTCGTTACGATTACTATTATTATTATCATTATCATTATCATTTAAAAAAGAATTAATTACGAATTAATTTTACTTTGCAAATTCCTCCAATGCACATATCTCGCGTTCCTACTCTGCAAGGGGTTCCATCTTTAGCTGCTCCACCCTTCGGTACGATTATCGTGTCTTTTTCATCGGAGCAATACAATTCGCAGGGTTCCGCTGCGGAAAAACAAAAATAACGAAAAAGGATAATTTCGAAAATGAAATTTTAGAAAACGGATATATATTATATAATCCGTGATGGTTATACCTTTATCGAAATACGGAATCCATTTGTATTTTTTACCGTGAAACGGTTTATCGTCGTAATTTGAACATTGAACGGCTCGAAAAGACGGAGTATTATCCGGACAATTCTAAAAAAAAAAATCATTATTATTATTATTATAAATAATCGCGATATATATTAATTTAATTTTAGAGAGAGAGAGAGAGAAAATAAGTCCTAGGTTAATGCTGACCTCTGTATTACATATTTTATATTTTTTCCTTTCTCCTATGCAAAATTTTCCTCCGTAAGCCGGAGTCGGAAAATCGCAATTTCTTTCTTTTATTGCGACTCCGGCTCCGCATGATCTGCTACATTCGCTCCATTCTCCCCATTCGCCCCATCCCCCATCTATCGGATCTGGCTTATCACTTATCGGCACGCATTGTTGATTAATGCACCACTGAAATGGAAAAATAAAAGAGGAACCAGTTTTTAATTATCCAAATGTGATTTTCGATGGGAAAAATTTTACGACAGTCAGCCATGTTCTAACCATATTCTTTCCGCAAACGGTACCGGAAGCAGCCGGTTTTAACATTGTGGTACACACTCCATCGACGACGCACCACAATCGGGAACAAATCTAAGGAGAAAAAAAAAAAAACAGAAAAATGAAGGACGAAAAAACGAAAAAACTAATTTGAATAAAAAAAAAAAGGAAGGAATTAAAAGGAATTATTACTTCGGGGAGAGGTGTGCAAACTTCCATTCCTTTGCTACCGAATTGCAATTGACACTGAAAACTAGCATCGTAAATGGCTCCTGGAGGTAGTTCCGGATATTCGAAATTTTCATCTGGAGTCGGCTTGTCATCGAGGCACTTTCCCAAACCTTTACTGTAAAAAAAAAAAAAAAAAAAAAAAAAAAAAAATTAGTGTGTTTATTTATGTGTGTAAGTGCGTGAACGAGTGCGTGACTTACTCTAAAAAATTTGTTATGTCTCTTCGACTGCAAGCAGACCATGCAATTTCAACAGTGTCCGCTTCGAAACTTGGAGTCATAACGTGTTGCGTGGTACCGTTTCTTCTGGAGCAACCAATTTTTTCCGTATCGTGATACATTCCAAAACTAAAAACAAATTCATAACTCAAAATTTAAAGGACAACAACAGGAGGAGGATGGAGAGAAAAGACTTAAATGTCGGCTCACTTGTGTCCCAATTCGTGAGTGATCGTGTGAGCGACGGTTATACCATTATCTTCGTTAACGTTACAACTTCTTTCTTTTTCGCACATTCCACCGACGTGAGCGACACCGAGAGTTCCACAAGGAGTATTACTTCGAGCGCAAATATCTTCCCTACTCGAAAAAAGAAGAAAAAAGATGAGAATGAATGAAAATGAGATGACGTCACGATGAAAAATAAATAAATAAATAAATAAAAACCTCGTTATGAGTATGGCAACGTCGTGGTGATTGGGATGATCGTCTCCCTCGAAATTTTGTTGTTCCTGCCATTTGCAAAAACTTTCAAGAGTTTTATCCGCGTTCACGGTAATGTTCAAACCGTCCAAATGAGCATCTTCGTCAAGGAGAATGACATTGACAACGGCAATGTTAACCTGATTCCCTATACTCGGATCTTGGTACAAAGCAGAAACCTGATACCAGACATACATATATAAGCAAACGATAAAAGAAAAGAAAACTCGACGTAAGAGAAAAAAAAAATGAATACATGTCGTCCGTACCATGTTCATAATGGTGAGAAGGTACGTTTCAACGTAGGTATCCTGATGAAATTTAATCATGGACGTGTCGGCAACGATTAAAGCTTCGACGTATCTTTCTTTGCTAACGGATCGTCTCCAACGGTTTTTCCTTGATCTTCCCCTTCCTTTGACTTTCATTTTTCCAGGTTGCTCCTGCCATTCCAATTTCATTTCTTTTAATCTTCTAGGTTCTTAAAAAGAAGTCTTTAGGTTTATTACCATTCTTACCAACGATACCTCCTTAATTTTATAAAAAATTATAATAAAAAAAAAAAAAAATGTCTACCTCTTGTCCCGCAATTTTTTTCGTGTTTTTTCTTTTTTTTCTTTTTCTTTTTTTTATTTTCAGGTACGACGGTTGCTCTTTTAAAAATAATATGTGGCTTTTTCCCTTCCGCTGAATGATTTTCTTTAACGGGTTCGACCCAATATTCTCCATGTTTTTCCGATACTATGACTCCAGCCTGTAAAAAAAAAAAAAAAAAAAAATCGTTTCCTTTCCTATATTCCTTTCCCTCCCCTCCCCCGATATTTTCTCGATTCTTATTTACGTGCGTGCGAAATATTCTTGTACCAACTTGCCTCCTCCTCTCCCCGACGGGAAAACTTCTTTTCAATTAAACAATTAATTTTCAATTATTTCCCCGCCCCCCCCCCATCGTCCACCCCGTTTCGGTTTTGATGTTTTTGTGTTTACATAAAATTTATGACTCGGATTTGGATAATTAACGTTTTTTTTTTTGTTAAAAAATAATAATAATAATAATAATTTTGCAAGATTCGTGAGAATTTAAGATAGAAAAAAAAAAAATTTAAATTTAAATTTATTACATTTTTTTTTTTCGTTTTTGTTTTCAATTATTTTTCGCATGTAAAATTACCTTAATAGAGAGAGAGAGGGGGGGGTCAAATTTACATAATAACGGAGCATTTAAATTTTAAATTATTATTATTATTATTATTTTCTTCAATTATCTATGATTCTTTATCCCAACTGAGAAATAATAGAGAGAGAGAGAGAGAGAGAAGACATTGTTTAACGTTTTTACAAAGTGAAGGTCGAAACACAAAATTGTTTTGGGTACCGGAAGTTGTGATTAATTGTCACGTGATTAAAAATCATTTCGTCATTTATTATTATTATTATTTTTTAAAATACTTTTGACACGGTGGAAATAAATTAGATAAATAATTGCAAACGTTCCTATTTAAAAAAAAAAAAAAAAATTATGCAACAAACGTGTTATGCAATCAACAAAAAAAAAAAAAAAATGGATTTCTTATGACGAATGACCGTACAAATAAATAAATAAATAAATAATAATAATAATAATAATAATAATAATAATAATAATATTAATAATAATCGTGTAAGGACTTACCAAACCGTTTTTACAAACGGAAATGGCGACCCTCGACCTCGTTTGACCTTTTACTTTTCCTCTATAATGGCATTCAATATCAATATCGTTGTTTGATTGGATTGTATTTGCTGTCGCTCTTTTTTTTATTTCCGTTTCCCTTCTTCTTCTTCTTTTTTTCTCCTCGTCGTCATCATCATCATCATCATTATTTTCGAATTCGTTATTTTCCGGTTGCGTTTCATCTATCATTATAATTAATTATTGATTATTAAAAAAAAAAAATGTAACGAGTACGATTCGAATTATTATTATTATTTTTTTTGCAATGATGATAATAATAATAATGATACCTTTCGATGAGTGATTTTTCCGACGTATTAATTTCCTTTTAGTTCTATTCGTTTTCGACCATCTTTGTACGATTAAATTGGGCGATATGAAATCGTTGTTGGGAAAAAGTTGAACGACGAGTTCATCACCTTCTATACGTAATTTATAATTTAAATTCGATGGGAAAGTGCTTCGTTTTTTACGATTTTTAAAAAAATCTAAAGAATTTAATTCTTGACCCTCGTCGTCTACCAACACGGGTATCGTTATCGTGTAATTTTCCACTTTTCCAGAATAAATACCTTGAAAAACAAAAAAAAAACAAAAAAAAACAAATTAATAGATTTTCTTCTTTCCCCTCACACGTAGGCACCAACGAAATCTTGTGTCGAAATGTGCGAATGAAATTATCGCGCGTAAATCATCATCATCATTATCATCATCATCATCATCATCGTCATAAAACGGAAATCATTTCGTGTAATAAATAATTTACGATAAAATTTTATTTTAAGAAAGAAAGAAAGAAAGAGAGAAAAAAAAAAGCAACTTTCGTAAACATTTTAGTACATAAAATTCAATGAATGAATGAATGAATGAATGAATTAAAAGGCGAAATAAACGTAAAAATAACCGGTTCGTTGCATTCATTCACTCATTCATTCATTCGTTCGTTCGTTATTTATTTTGAAAAAAAAAAATTTACGCCAACGTAATGCAACCTTTTATTTATTTATTTTTATTTTTATTTTTATTTTTATACAAAACTTTTACATAAATAATTTTTTTATTTATTTATTTTTATTTGCATTTTATCGATTATAAAACTAACTAATAGGAAATGAACATAAAAAATAAATAAATAAATAAATAAAGTTCGATTCGTCACGTTGTGCATCATCATTATCATCATCATCATCATCATCATCATCATCATCATCATTATTATTATTATTATTATTATTATTATTATTATTATTATTATTATTATTATTATTAATAAAAACTCGAAAAAGGTACAAAAAAGGGAATTAAAAAATATTATCATGTCTAAAAACGTTTATTATTAAAAGTATTTAATTTTAAAAAATGTTAATGATTTATATCTATCTTCTGCTGCAACGTCATCAACGACAACAACAACAACAAAATCTTTCGACTCGTTTAAAAAATAATAATAATAATAATAATAATAATAATAATAGAAAACAGAAAGAGGAAAAAAAAAATTGTTTTTTTTTTTTTTTTTTTTTTTTTAAAAAGTCGTTTGTTGGTGGTGGTGGCGCCAACGCCACAAATGTTATATTATGTATCGTATTTCATGGGTTTTATGTTTTTTTTTTTTTTTTTTTTTTTTTTTTTTTTTTTTTTGTATGCAAAGATGAATGAATATTATTTATTTTGTTTTTCATCTCTCGCCTATTGTTGTTTGTTTGGTTGTTTGTTGTAAATCTTTCCTGTTAAATTTTTCTTTCCACGTTACATAATTATTTATTTTAGTAAAAAAAAAATTCTAATAATAAACTCATCTTTTTTTTTCTCTCTCTCTCTCTCTCTCTTATTAAATTTAATGGTGTGGAAAGGGGAGGGAGGGAGGGAGGAAGAGGGGGGTCACCTACACGAGTGCAATTTTTTTATTACTGACAAAAAAAAGAAGACCTTTGACCTTTACAACGCGGATTATCTTATCGGAAATAATTATTATTACGTTGTTGTTGTTGTTGTCGTTAAAAATCCGTAAAACTAAGTATTACGTGTTATTTTTATTACCCCAACAATCGTGTTGTTTAGTTAACGAAATAATAATAAACAAAAAAAAGATAATAATAATAATAATGACGTCGTGATGATAATAATAATAATAATAATAATAATATAGGAAATTATTGGCAGTAAAAAAAAAAAATAGGCATCAACTTCTACAAAACATTTCAAAGTCTTTCATCCGAAATACAATAAAAGTATTAATGATGATGATGATGATGATGATGATGATGATGATGATTAGGATTCGATTGGGGGAAAAAAAAAAAATATAAAAATTCTGATGATGATGATGATGATGATGATAATAAAAAAAAATAGCAATTTAATATGCACGCCACTGGGTTTTTTTTTTTTTTTTTGATATTCTTCATTATTATTATTATTATTATCATTATTATTATTTTGACCCTAACTAGACGTTATATACCATTTTTTTTAAGGTTGATGAGACGTCGTCGGTTTTAAGAGTGGTAGGCGCCAAGCGCCATGCGCCTAGTTTGGCGCCAATAGCTAATCAAATCATTGGGCGGGCGGGTTGAATCACGCCGTCTAAAACAGGACCGAATTCCGCTTATTATTATTTTTTTTCTTTTTTTCCTTTCTCTCTCTCTCTCTCTCTCTCTCTCTTCCATGTTTATAATCTACCTACCAACTTATCCATCCATCTATCTATCTACCTAACCATGCGTTCGTACGTGCGTGTGTGCGTGTGAGTTTGTGCGTACAAAAAAGAAAAATTAATTATTTTATTAATTTATTTTCGATTCGATACGATTATTAATAATGATGATAATGATAATAAATTCTCGTTTTTTTTTCAATGTCCTTTGCATGGACGATAATAATAATAATAATAATAATAATAATAATAATAATAATAATAATAAATTAATTAATTGACATAATTTTTTAGTTTGACCTAAATATTTTTTCGTACAAAAGTCCTCGAGTCAAATATTATGGCGCCAACGAAAAAAAAAAAAAAAAAATTAAATAACAAACTGATAATTATAATAATTGCTAAAAATTTATTTCATTTTGTTGTTGTTTGTTTGTTTGTTTAGTTTGCAAATTAAATTATGTTGACTGAACTGTTTTGTTTCGTTTGTCTGGGATTTTTTTTTTTTTTTTTTGAGACACTTACGTGGAAACGAAAACAAAAACAAAAAAAATGACGGTGCCAAATTTACTACCTTTCAATTATTATATACGCACGCACACGCACGCACGCAAAACAAACAAACTAACAAACGAACGAATAAACGTAAACAAACGACATACCCTTTTTCGTACCCTAAAGGTAATTTCGTTTTCTCTATTTTACCCCCCGCTTCTCCCTCCCCCTCGCGCTCCTCCCCCCATTTAGTTTCGATGAGGTATAAAAGAAGAAAAGTATGGCTGGTTGTTGTTGTTTTTTTTTTTCTTTCTCCCTCCCAACCCTCACAATATAAAACAAACAAACAAATAAAAAAAAAAAAAGTTATTAATAATATTTTTCAAAAAGAATAATAATAATAATAATAATAATAATAATAATGGTTTGGGGGCTACCTGATTTTTTTTTTTTTTTTTTGGGTAACACCTTAAACAACACCTGGAAAATGTAATAATAACAGAATACTTTTAAACTTTTTGTTTGTTTGTTTGTTTGTTTGTTTGTGTGTCTGTCGATTGTCGCACATTGTCGGACGTGTCGCGCCGATTTATAATCACGTGTCGCAAGTTAAAAAAAAAAAAAAAAAAATTTTTTTTTAAATTAAAATGACGTCTTGATCATTTTGTTCTCTGACGTCACATTTTTACGCAATAGTAGTGACACATTTAATTTATTATTATTATTATTATTATCATTATTATTATTATTATTAATTAAATTATTTGCTTGTTTCGTCAAATTTTTTTTTGTCGTTCAGTTTTGATCGCAGGATTGTTGAGAAAAAAAAAAAAAAACGATTCATTCAGCTAAATATTTTTGTCGTGACGATCGATCGAATTATTATTTCCGGTTCCGGTCGCGTGGAAAAATCTAGAAAATATATTTTCTCGTAATTTTACGTGTTAGGTATTATTCGTTGTTATTATTATTATTATTGTTAGGTTCGATGAAAAATTTTGTGAGAAATCAAAAACGACGGCCTTTAATTTTTTTTTTGGTTAATATCGCCAAAGACCGTGAAAATAAATTTTTTTTTTTTTTTTTTTTTTTTTTTTCAAGGTTTTTGTTATGTTTTTTCTTTTTCTACGTCTTATTTTCCATGAGTCAGGGTGCCAACCTAAAAAAAAACTTATGAGGGAAAAAAAATCTTTGATTTGATAGATTTAAACTTACCGTGTTTTATTTCCGACGCATCATCCCCCGTGAGACTTTTCGTCGTCGTCGTTGCCCACAGCAAATGACAAAATATAATGATAATAATTCCCATGATAATTCTCGCTTTTCCTTTTTTTTTTTTTTTTTTTTCTATTACCAATTATTATTATTATTATTTTTTTCTTTTATTTTCTCCATTCACCACGTCATCGTCATATATTTTCAAATGTATTAATAATAATAATAATAATAATAATAATTTTTTCATTTTAAAAAAAAAAAACAATTTTTTTTTTTTTTTTTTTTTGAACGGGAAATTAAATCTGAAAAGAAAAAAAAATTCGTTAAAAATGTATATATGCGGTTATTATTATTATTATTATTATTTTTTTTTTCGCTGGAGAAAATAATAATAATAATAATAATAATTAAACATGTGAAAATTGTTTGAAATTAAATCGGCAACAAAGTTATTAATGATAATAATCGTTTAAAATTAATACAATTATTATTATTAATTATTATTATTATTATTCATTCATTCATTCATTCATTCATTTTATAATTATTATTATTAAAAAAAAAATAAGGTAGTGCATGTATGTATGAAGTTGTAGTAGTAGTAGTAGTAGTCGTAGAAATTGAGTTGGAGTCGTAAACCGAATGCATTTGTTTGTTTGTTTGTTTGTTCGTTTGTTAGTTTGTTTGACATAAAGACGTTTAGGAGCTTTGTTATATTATTATTATTATTATTATTATTATTATTATTATATTTATTTGCGTCCAAATATGGAGTTTCATCATCGTTCGTCCCCCCATACGCACACACACACACGCACACACAACATTTGCAATTTGAATTTTTTTTTTTTTTCTCCTTAAGTTCAGCGACATGTCTTGTTTTTTTTTTTTGTCGAATCTCTCTCTCTCTCTCTCTCTCTCTCTCTCTCTCTCTCTCTTTTCCATGAAAATTTATTATTATTATTATTATTATTATTATTATTTTTAACGCCACGAAAAAAAAAAAAATAGGAAAACGTTAATTATACACGACGACGTTGACGACTGACGTGTTTGTTATATATATATATATATATATATATTTATTAAATTCACGTTTCGAAACGATGCGCGTGTATTACGACAAAAAAATCGTAAAATGATTGTTGTATGTAATCGTTAAACATGATGAAATAAATCAATTAAAAATTTTTTCGGGAAGAAGTAAAAAGAAATTATTAATAATAATAATATAAAAAATCCGCAATTTTTTTTTTTTTTTGCGAAAATAATAATTTGAGATTTTGGGAAAAAAAAAAAAAAAAAAAAAAAAAACTTTCCGGACGGTTATTTTTTTTTTTGGCACGTTCGTGTTAAATTATTTAAAAAAAAAAAAAAAAAAAAATTTATCTTCCAGGTATTTTATTGTTTCCACGTATTTTCTAAATAATTTTCAATATTTTATTCTACTCTCGTCGAGTATAAAAATTAGATGAAAAAGAAAAAGAAAAAATTATTATTAAGGTTGAAAACTCTTTTGTATCTCTCTCTCTTTCTCTTTCTCTCTCTCTCTCTCTTCCCCCCCGTATCTCTCTCTCTCTTTCTCCCCCCCCGTATCTCTCTCTCTCTCTTTCTCCCCCCCCCCGTATCTCTCTCTCTCTCTCTTTTCCTTTTTTTTTTAAATAAGTTAATAAAATTGATTAAAGTGAATAATAATTAACGATCGATTGTTGTTTGTTTGTTTGTTTGATTAGTTTTTTTTTTATTTATTTTATTTTTCTCGTCATTTAAATTATTTTTTATTATTATTAAATAATACTAATACTAATAATAATAATGATAAAACGATGTAAAATTTCATTTTCTTATTCTTCTTCGTTTATTTTATTATTATTATTATTATTATTATTATTATTATTATTATTATTATTATTATTATTATTATTATTATTATTATTATTATTTTTTATTACGGTCCGTGAAGTATTCAGCGAATTTTCCACGCAAATAAATATGTTAATTATTTTATTTTCTAAGGAAAACGATCATTTTAAATAATAATAATAATAGTAATAATAATAATAAATCACAACGCGTTACGGATTTCGTTATTAAAATACCCCGACCGAAAAATAATAATAATAATAATAATAGAAAATTTTCTTCGCGTTATATTAACCCAAATTTTTCGTTTTTATAACATTATTAACGACGACCGCGTTTTTTTAAATATCAATCAAAGTGCGAAATTCTTATCACTAATAAATAAATAAATTTATTATTATTATTATTATTATTATTATTATTATTAATTTATAATTTATGTTAATAAATATTAATTAAAATCGGGACCAGGATCGGGTCGCGCACTAATTCGAAAAAATCGTCACTTTTTTTTGTTATTATCGTCGACGACCGTCGCGAAAATAATAATAATAATAACAACAACAACAATAATAATAATAATTAATAAATAAATAAATAAATAAATAAATAAATAATAATAATAATAATAATAATAAAACACCGACGGAGAAAAAACTGAATTTAAATACGCGAAAATAAAAAAAAAACATTAAAAACATTTTTTTTTTTTTTGGCAACAACCGAAATTCACGATTTATAAAACAACAACAACAACAACAACAACCGCAACAACCACAACAACAACAACAATAATAATAATAATAATAAACTTTTTAAATTTTTTTTTACCCGAACGCAAAAATCGTAAAAAAAAATTTTTTTTATATAAATAAATAAAATAAAACGCGATATAATTTATTTACCCACCGGATAATTAAAAATTATTATTATTATTATTATTATTATTATTAATAATTAATAATGATAATATTTAATAATATTAATAATAATAATAGCACGATGTTTTATCGAGCCTTAACTATGTATACACTGATGAAAATGTGCGGATCGTATAATATAAACACACGCATTTACACACACTTACACTACTTACACTTACACTTACACACGCGCGCGCACGCACACGATGTATGTCGTGTGTGTGTGTGTGTGTGTTTCACTATATAAAATAACGCGGATAATAAAAAACTAAGAACACGGCGTGTTTTTGTTCTTTAAGTGGGGGAGAAAGACTAGACATCATCATCTTTTTATCCCTGTGAGTGTATGTGGAAGAAGTGTCTTTCTTGGTCTCCATTTTTTTTTTTTTTTCTCAATTGCCTAGATGTACCTGACAAACTACTACTCCTACTACTACTACTACTACCACCACCACTACTACTACTACTGCTACTACTATTATTGTAAATAATTTTTAAAAATCAGGGACGTATCTTTTTAAATATTTTTTTTTCGTAGTCGTTGCGTTCCCCTTCCCCCTGTGTTGATGGACGGGGCGGGGGGGGGGGAATATGGCGTGTAAAATGATGATGATGGATAAATGATTTTTTAACGGTTTTTTTTTTTTTCCCTCGAAAAATTCAAAGCTTCCGAATTCCAATTAAATAAAACAAGAAATCATACCTGAAGGTCGAATCGTAAAAGTATCTTGAATCAATTTTTTTTTTTTTTTTACACCTCCCCAATCCCTTCCCTCCCCCACCGGAGGGAGGGAGAGTGGAGTGTCCCCAAGGCGCTTTCTTTTCTCTCCGTTCCACTCCTTCTTTTATATAATAATAATAATAATAATAAATTACACACCTCCCGAGTTAATGACGTTGATGACGATGACGACGATTATCGACTTTTCAATCGACATACGATTGATCGATCGCCTTCTTAAAACTTGACCGCAAATAAAATTTCGTAAAAAAAAATTTTCCATTTGCAAAAAATAATAATGATAATAATTAGTTCTCCATCATCATCATTATCGTCATAAACATAATTTTTTTTTTTTATAATCGAATCGAATCGAACCGAACCGAAAAAACGAATCTTGTAATGGATTCGATAGAAATTTGCAACATTAATTATTATTATCATTATCATCATTATTATTATTATTATAAAATTCGAGTCGTATTTAAATATATATTGCTTTGGGGTTGAGTTTCCGGTTTTCAGTATACATATATGTATATATATATATATATATATATACATATACGTAGGGTAATAAAAGTTGGTTAATTAATTTTTTTAAAGTTTTTAAATTAATAATAATGATAATAATAATGATGATGATGAAAAGGGTGTCAAAGAAAAAAAATTTCGTTTAAGACTAAATAATAATAATAATAATTTCACAGGCTTCCTCTGGACAATTCAACGATTACGACGAATTTATAATAATAATAATAATAATAATAATAATAATAATAATAATAATAATAATAATTTACTATTATTATTATTAAATTAAAAAAAAAAAAAGGTTAAAACGACATCCTTGACCTTTGACCCTTTTGTCGATGGGTGGTTAAATTTATTTATTACGCACGTGGTAAATAATAATAAAAATTAAAATTATTTAAGGTATTAATAATAATAATAACGGCGGCAAACGTTTTTTTTTTTTTTTTTTTTTTTTTTTTTTTTTTAATAAAAATGTTTTTAAAATTATTACTTAATAATATTAAACGCGGATTTCATAACGTATGAATGTCGATAATAATAATAATAATAATAATAATAATAATAATAATAATAATAATAATAATAATAATAGAGGGTCAAGGCAAATTAAAATCAAATTTGCAACAAATTGAAAAATAAGTTTGAACAAAAAAAAAAAATTGATATTTAAAATTTACATCTATTTATTTATATATTATTAAAAAAAAAAAAAAAAAGGAGTTTGAAATATGCTTTGCGTAATATTAACGTATTTCTTAACGCATTATTATTATTATTATTATTATTATTATTATTATTATATTTCATTATACACTATGTGTTAAATTGTTTGATACAAATCAATTATTTACAGATTTCGTTTGTTCATTATTCGTCTGTCATTTGTTCGATAAAAACTTTAAGTTCTCGACAATTTACATTTTATCATTATTATTATTATGATTTACATTGTATTACTGATCATTTGTTTGTTGCATGAGATAAATCAACATCCCAACTCTCTGAAAAATCTTCCAATGTGAAATTTCTTCTTATGGGATTTCGAAATTTTTCAAATTGTGCGTAAACTGCAGGATAATGTACGGATGTGAAACCGATTAAAACTGATTTTAAAGCTCGAATGAGATTAATTTTGTACACATGTAATTCTGCTTTTTCTAAAGCTCTAAAACCAAACAAAACGGTTATTAGCACGTGAATAAGTTTTAATTGTTAAAATGTATTATTAAGGACAAAATTACATTTTATCATCTTGGCTATAATTGTCTTCGTTATTCTTGACAGATTTCAAATTGTATTCGTATTTTGACAAGGCAGATAAATAATTCATTTTTGTTTTAGTGACATCTAATTCGTTTAATTTTTCATTGTATAATTTCACAATTGATTTACTCAAATAAATTATTCCCTCGCATTTGTTTAATAATTCTCTGAAAGTATTTTACAGCAAACATTAACATTTTGATAAAATGAATGAATGAATGAATGAATGAACGATGAGAGAATGGCAATGAATTTAAAACCTTTTACTCGTTGAATCATTAGTTTCTAAAAATGCAGAACAGGCTATGTTGTTTTTGATAAATTTGGCACAGTCTTTAAGCGATACCATAAACATGATGTCGTCATGAAGTCTTTTTACATTTTCTTGAAGCACTTTGTATGTTATTGGTTTTTCAAATGGTGGAATGTCTTGTTGCTTCGACACCAGTATGGTGTCTAACGACAAAGACCTACTCTGATAGTATTTTAACGTGTTTTTTAAAAATTTTATTTTTTCTTCTTTTTTTGATGTTTTCAAATCGTCATTTGGAACACGCTCCGATAAACCAACGTCACTCATCTAAAATTTAATTTAAAAAAAAAAATGTATAAATTTAAGCAGGAATAATAATAATAATATTATAAATAATAATAATTGTTTACCTTTAGGTTTTAAAATCTTACAGGAATGTAAAATACTGAAATTGTAAAAATAATTATTATTATTGTAACAGTATAATTGTTTTTATTGTTTGTTTTGAATTACTCGAGAGAAAGATGGCGTCGTCAGATAATTTTTGGCGGAACATTTGATGCCACGACGTTTTTTATTTACTCTATGATACTAAAATTAGATTTATTCGGTTAATTGTGGTGGAGAAAGTTTAACGTTCCGTTGTATTTAAAATTCTATTTAAAGAATAATAAATTTTATTAATCGAGATTTTAATGGCTGATATTATTACATCCAGGTACGCTGTTTTAAGTATCGATGATGATGATGATGATGATAATAAAGAAGGAGTTGATGTTTCTAAAAATAAGAAAATAGAAAATGATGATGGTGAAGCCACCGGGTCTTTAAAATGTAATGAGGAAGCAGCATCAGGCACATTCGAAAAGTATAAAGAAGAAAGAGGTGTTAAAAAAAAAAATCGAGTAAGTTTTTAATATTCAATAATAATAATAATAATAATAATAATAGTAATAAATATAAGAAATAAAATAATAATTTATTTCGGGTATCAGGTGAAGAAAAGAAAAAGTCAAATGAATTGCACCAACGATAATTTTCCCGATTCGAAAAGTTGGGAAGAGTGGAGAACGAGGGATGAAAAATTTGTCGAGAAAAATTTTGATGAAGAATTATCTAAGGCGATATTATTGTCAAAGCAAGATTACGAAGAGAAAAAAGAAGTTTATGAATTTATAAAAAAAGAATGTGAAAAAACAGAAAGGGTGCAAAAGAGAGATTTGTTGAAAAATGAATTAGAAAAAAGAATTTTAAAAATTAGTGCAAATGATTCACAATCGTCCACATCCAACTCGAACAATATGTTTAACAGTGATAAAGAAGTCGATTTTGCTGTTTCTGCATCAAGTTTAAATTCGAATGAAAGTAATAGGTTGAATGTTCGAAGTGAAGAAAATTTTGCTTTAGTTACACTTCAAGCGATATTAGAAAATAAAGATAAGGAAATACACGGATTAAAATTGGAAAATGAAAAATTGAATAATCTTTTAATGGATGTCAAAATGAGGAATTCGAAATTGTGTCAAATAATCGCACACGGAGAAAGTAAGTTTTATTTTATTTTCCATTTTTATTTCTCACCCTAAAAAAGTAATTTTTATAATATCATCATCAATTATAAAAACTTTTAATTTTTCAACAACAAAAACAATTAAGGCAAAAAATTTTATTTTTTATTTTTTTTTTTGAAATTTAGTGAAAGAAAAAGTTGAAATGCTTATGGAAATAGAAAAGTTAAAAGTTATTAATGATGATTTATCGACTGAAATGAATTTTTTAAAAAATCAAAAATCAAATTGTGAAAAATAATAATTTAATGAATGAAATTTTTTTAAACTGAATGAAATGGAAAATATCCAACAGGGTTGGTATGAAAGCGATTGTGGATTTTCTTTAAAAAAAAAAAAAAAAAACAATTTATTAATCATGTAAAATTATTTTTTTTATCTATTATATATTATGTTCGTTATTATCAATTATCTTTTGCCATTTTTCGAGTAGTATTATCATCCCTTTGAATGTAAACCTCCGAATTTATGGTTTGATTAAGCTCAAAGAAGTCTATGTGTTTGTAGTCCCACCAAACTGATAATAGTACCTTTTTTTGGTGAATGTCAGCCTTAGAAGTTGTCGGTGACGGTTTCCCTTGCCTAAAGCAGGATCTTTTTCTCGAAATGTTGTCATACCAACCAACTTTTCATCTCTGGTGGCCATCCTTTCATAAATGGGTCATTTGTGTGGAGTTTAAGAAGCACATGGCAAAGACCAAGTCATCTTGTTACATCACTCACACTCCCCAAGGGAGTCAATCTTCTTTTGGTATGTGACACATCTACCTTCTCTGCAATGTCCCTTGTCAAACTATGACGATCTTCAACCTCCACTGGACCCTCAGATCGCTCCAGAATGGAATTTCACAAACCAGTTTTAAAACTTCCGTTCTTTCAAGGCTTCATCACCCTACACGGCCCACAACTTTTTATGAACTTGTGACCCATTAACACCCTTTCAAAAATAAAAAAACAAAATGTTGAGGAAATGCTCGCTTTGACTCCCCATGTTCGAGTGTCTTCTGCTCACACACAATTTAACAATTCAATTAAATTTCCATACAGAATGAAACAAGTAATAACCTGATTAAAAATTCATGTCTGTGCAAAAATGTAAAAACACGTGTCAACGTTATGAGTTGATGGAAAATCCACAATTACTACGTTGCCAACCCAAATTAATTTTTAATTAAATTTAAATTTTTTTTTTTTTTTTTTTTGAAATATTAATGAGGAGGTTTAAGGATTCGATTCTCTCTAATATAATAATGAACCTTAAGGTACAAAACAAATAATAATAATAATAATATTTTCAATATTCATTCATATTTATTTAAAAAAATAACAACTATTTGTAATATATGCATTTAAAAATTATTTACATAATAATAACGTATACTTATATCACATTTTATTATTATTATTATTTATTTTACCAAAACTTTCGATGCGAGACGGGTAAAGTTAAAAACGGATTTGTTTGTTTGTTTGTTTGTTTTTTAAATGGCCCCCCAATTAAATATACATCATCTGGCTTTTTTTAAATAAATGATTTTAAGCAGAAGACAATACGGACGTCGTAAATATTTGTTGCATTATTTGCGGAATGTTTTTCAGATCCATACAAACGAATGCACGTCCGGCGGGAAGAGTGCTTGCCAACCTAAAAAAAAAAAAAAAAAAAAAAAAAAAATGATAATAATAATTTTCGAATCGTATATAATAATAATAATAATAATAATAATTTTTTCTTTTCAGGACCTGGTCGCTTGATCCCCGAGGGATCCTATGAGTATGGCATAAGCGTTCACGTCCGGATTCGACGTTAAAACTCGTCCGAAACTCGAAGGACGAATTCCGTAGCGTTCCAGGTTGGCATCGGATAAAACAATGACTATGGATTCGTCTGAATCTTCTTTCGAAAGAGTTTCGATCGCGTGGAGAGTGGCAGGAAGCGTGTGATCTCCGGACATGCAAAATTGGGAATGAGCGTGCATCGTCTAAATAAAAGAAAGGATTATAATTTTGATTGGTTGACCTTTCACCTCATCACCGATGTCAGGGGTAAGTGAGTGAACTTTTGTTTGACCTTTATCACTTCGAGACGTTCTTTATTGTTTTTCGGTGGATTTTCCGATTCGACGAACGGTATGTTATACCCGTCTCCCGAATGACCCGTTATGTCGTATTTAAATTTCGATTCTTGATTATGAAAAGCTTCCATGACTAAAACGCTCGCTTCGAGCATTCGATTTAAACGTCCGTCGTAACCGTTGAACCTTGAAAAAAAATGGGGAAAAAATTTTTTAAACGGGGAAGAACGCGTCACGGGAATCATTTTTTTTTTTTTTTTTTTTTCGGTACCTGTACATGCTACCCGACACGTCAGCGACTAATTTCAATCTCTTGGGTTTCGTTTGCGGCGCACCCAATTCCGGTTCTTTTTTTATTCTTCGACGGTAAATCGTTTTCTCTCCCGTTAAACCTTCGATCAATTTCAAATCGTCTAAATCTCCCGACGTTTGATGACGTACCCATTCTCTTTCTTTTGCTTTCGCTTGAACGTTACCAATGACGATCCGTAACATTTTCACTTGGTTCGACACGGGTACCGAGTAACTCTGATACATTTCGTGATCGTATTCGCTCATTTTGATTTCTTTCAAACGTTGTCGAAATGCTTTTTGACCCATTTCGCGAGCGGCTCTCTTAACTTCTTCAGGCACGTCGTTCTTTTCCTCGTCGGATATCTACGGATCGAGCGGTTGATTAAATATTGAGTACTCAAGCACAACTAGGGATTCGTCGACGCCACTCACCTGGTGAACATCGTGACCCGCATCCAATCTGTAGGGTCCTCCTTTACCCCCCAAACCGGCCGTATCCCGTCCACCCGTACCACCCGCCCAAGTGTTTCCTCCCACGTGCGGTTTATTATCCGGATCTACTTTACCGTGTTTGGGATTCGATACTTCGGCTCCGCTGTCTCTTTTGATCGTGAGTTGTAATGATTCGTCGCTTCCTAAAAATTATGAGATTTGATGAGATTTTTCCAAGTTCACGATTGGGAAAACAATAAAAAAATTTTCCAAACCTTTTCCCAACATTTTTTTCCAATCGTCCAAAGATCTTTGTAGTTGCATGAAACCCGTTTCCCACAATCGTAAATTTCCAGCATAATCAACGGTAACGATTTTGTCATCTTTCATTTTGGATAAAAATATTCCCAGTGTTCCAGAATCGACGTACCACGACGTTTCCGTTCCTCTTTATATTTTAGGGAAAGAGAGAGAGAGAGAGAGAGAGAAAACCTAATTAATTTTCTACTTCTTTTTTTTTTTTGAATAATACTCAAATAATTTTAATAACTCACTCTGGAACTGGAAGGTATTGCACTTTGGAACGTTTTAAATCCACAACTTCCAAAAATCCCAAACATGAGGAACCCCCCGTTTCCTTTTGAACTTCTTCCGGTGCTAATATTTTATTAATGGGAGTCACGATCTAAGAAACAAAAACTTTTTTTTAAAAAATCAACTCGCGTTTCCGAAAAGAAAATTTAGGGGAAAATACCTGAAAATTTTCTTTTACGAAAATTGATTTTCCAAATAATCCACTCCATCCGTAGTCTCGTGCGTATTTCGGCCTGTGCCAACAAAAAACTTCATTTTCCGAACTTTCCAAATCTGGAAATCCCAAAACTAGGGAACCGTAACATTCGTCGGTCAATAATAATCTGTTGGGTGCGTTTATTTTACGTCTCATTATTGCACTTAGCGTTTCTTCATCTGAAAACGAACAGAAAAATATTTCGTAACGGTTTTTTTTTTTTTTTTTTTTTAAAGTGGCACCAGCGACGGTTTGTTTTACCGCGGAACTAATAACTAACCCAAATCGTAATCGAGACAATTTTTTATGGCGCCAAATTTAAATTCTGACGTCGTAACGGTTTCGTGAATTTTACCGAATACGGACGGTATCGGATCATTTGAATTTTTTTTCTTGAGTAAAAATTTTCTAGAAAAAAAAAAAAAAAAAAAAGAGAATTAGTTTGGGGGGGGTGGTGGGAGGAGGGGAGAAAAGGGGGGGAGGGGAGGAAATCATTAAAACTCTTTTACTTGTGTTCGGTATCTTGCAACAACCACGTATCGTTCGACGCAACGTGAATTGATTTGATTTCCAATGGTAATTCCATAGTGTAAACGGTCATTTTATTCAAATCCAAAACTTGAATCAGGCCCTGTCGGTGCAAATGCAATATCAACGTGTTATTTTCGGATAGTTGATCGTTTAATTTCCATTTTCCGACCGAACGTCGTTTACCGAACGCATTTAATAACTTGTCCGACATTGACGACGATAAACTGACGTGACGAACCGAATTTTCAAAAGCGTTCACCATGAGTAAAAAATTGGACTGAAAAAACAAAACGAATGATGATGATGATTTTCATGTACAAAATCCGATTCGCATTATATGTGGTGACTGACTGACATTTTCTTCGTGTACGAGTAAATTATCGGTTAAATGTTTACTCAGGGGTACCAAATTGAATTTATACTTTGAACCGTAGTCGATTTTCGGTACCAAAGAATCCATGGCTAAAATTTTGACTTCCGGTGATTCGAGGCACGTGACGTGTAATCGAAAAGGATTTAAAGTCAAAACGTTTATCAAACAATTTTCCGATGACGAATCGTTTGCTGTAAAAACAAAACTCGATAAATTATTCGAATAGAGGGGATTTTAAGTGGTCGTGGTAGTAGTATACGTACTCGTGGCAATAGCCAAAGCAACGTTCCCGGGGGTTAAAGGTAGAGTCGCGTAAGAATGCATTTCGTTAAAAAAGGATCCTCTGACTTGAGTGACGGCGTCGACTTGAGATCGTAAATTCGGTAACGTTTTTTTCCCTGAAATTTTCACGTTGGTCATTTCGACGGAAATTTGATTTTCGAAGGTCGAGTCTCTTCCATTCGAAACTTTCCACGTTCCATAACTCGAAAGTTTTGGTAATGAAAATCTTTAACGGGGGGAAAAAAAAAATGAATTCACTCGTCAACGACCCGAATTTTATCGTTGAAAAAAAAAAAAAAATACTTACTTACTCTTTTGCCATAGAAACATTTTTAGTCGTGACGTTAACGGGAATCCCATGTTTTTGTAATATTGGCACGATCGTTTCTAAAGTGTTGGAAGAATATTTATCGAAATCGAAAACGTTTTTAACGACGTCGCTGATTCCTTCGTTGCTAAAATTCTAAAAATTAAATTTTCTTTTTAGAATTCTTTTCGAAATTGTTTTAAAATTTTTTTTTATTGCGACAGTTCGTTCTGTCTTACCTGCATGTGTTTAACCACGTTGACAACTTCCCTCGTCGAATAAGGATACTGAACGCAACCCTTATCCGCCAAATCCCTCAATTCTCCAAAAGCTTTGACTAATTTCACAATCGTATTTTCCGGAACGTCCGGACCGTATTGTTTCAATAAAGCAATTTCGGATTCGACGCTCGGATTATCGACGATGTGACAACTGAACAAATCCCCTTAAAAAAAATGAAAATTTCCAAATGATTAAATCGTGTCGTGACGTGACGTGTCGCGTCGCGCGGTTTTACCTAAAGAGCTAAAAAAATCATTTCCCAAAAATGGAAATCCCGGTCTGTTGGCTAAAACGATCATTCGGAAATCGGGATGAAGTTCGATGACGTTCGAATTATTTTTTCTACCGTCGCCGTATGGGATTATTTTTCTACCGTCCGACAGAGTCATTTCTCCCCGTTCGACCAAAGTCTGTAGGAAAAAAAAAGAAAAAATTTTCAAGGAGGAGTGGATGATGATGATGAGTGATTGTCGCGTGACCGACATACTTTTAAAATGCACGTGACGTGAGTGGGAGCTTTATCGGCTTCGTCGACCACTAAAACGTGACCCGTTTTAACGGCTTGCACCAGAGGTGAATCCTCGTAGGAAACGATTCCGTCTTTGACCGTGGGTTGAAGGGTTAAAGTTTGTACGGTCGTGTCTCTGTGAAGTTGTATGTATTCCCGTGGCCTGTTTAACAATTGCAACAATCTGTCGGTTATTTTATTTTTTCCCACGCCTGAAACGACAAATCACGGTTCGAATTTAAAATGTTTTTTTGGGGGTGGGCGGGGCGGGGCGGGGGGCGGGAGATTACCCTGATTTCCGACCAAGAGTAAATGTTCACCCAACGTGAAATCTTGAATCAACCATTCGAGCAATTTCAAATGTTGCGGAATATCGAAAAATAATATGTCGGGGATTTTAGATTTTGAATTGGTGACGTAACGTTCGACTTCCGTTTTTCCGATTTTCACAGTTCGATCGTTTACTCGGCAAGATATTTCCTCGTGCCCACCGTATTCGTCGTCCGAATCCGCCGTTATCCCTTCGCTTTTCAATTTGTTATCGAAGGCTTCTTTTGTTATCGGTGGTAAAAACCTGCGGAGGTGTACGCGTGACGAAATTAACGTGTTGATGCGATCAAGGAAAATTAAACAGAGAAAAATCACACAGACCTTGCCAAACAAGCTTTCTGAACGGTGTTGTATAACGAATCCTCCGGATAAGACAATAATCTTTTAGACATTCTCAAAAGTTGTCTCGTGGAAAAAGATGAACTCAGTGATGCCAACGTCGGATCGCTCGATTCTCTCAACGAAAGAGCTAAATTTATGACTTTTTCGACTTTTTCGTTTATGGAACTCGTGTAAAGTTTTTCTATTATGCGTCTTTCTTCTTTCGTCGACAAAGGTCTCATTTCGTGAAACATGAATAATGATAACATTTCAGGCGAAAGCCATTTGTTGTTTACCGAAACTCCTTTAAAAAAAATTAAAAAAAAAAAAAAAAAAAAAACTTTAATTAGTTTTTTTTAAATATTAAAACGAATAATAATAATAATAATAATAGGAATTGCATGTTACCACCACTAAATATAGTTTTACTCTGACGTACCTTTTTGTGACGTCATTTCCGCAAGTCCGACGATTCTAAACGAAGGATGAATTTTGAATATTTTCGACGAATTCGTCATTTCCTCGTCGGTCAAATCGTGTAATTTTTTAATTTCCTCGTAGCGATCGTGTCGAACGAGTCTTTTACCGTCGTACAATTGAACGTCTCTGTCGTGGACCAAACTGTGTATGACGGACAACGTGCTCGGATGAACTCTATCGATGCCATCCAATATGGCTAATTTTCCATCCAATGCGGCTCGTATCAAAGGAGAATCGTTCCAAATCGTGTCGCCGTTCGGACGAGTGGTCCTTTGCTGCATCAAATCTCTCGACGTTATGTCCTGGTACAAAACGATAGATTCGACTTCGTAATTTAACAGGTTTGCCAACCTGAGAACCGTCGCACTTTTCCCACATCCTTTGGGTCCCACGAGACAAAAATCCGATACCGAATGACTTTGTAATAATTCTACGACGAGATTTTCCTGATAGTTTGTCGGAATGTATTTGAACGATGAAACGTGACTCGTCGTCGGTAACGAACCGCACGGTACCTGAAATGATAATTTATTTATTTATTTCAACCCGAGAGAGAGAGAGAGAGAGAGAAAACCTTTTTCACGCACTCCTTCGTGCTCCCATTCGCGCATTACCTTAACGTTTAAATTAGTTGAATTTAGGAAGACGGAACACGTGGCTACCGAATCGTCATCCGATGAAAATTTGACTTCGAGTAATGAATTTTCCGACGTCGCGATTCGATTTTTCTTCACTTGAAACGATTTCAAAACGTGTTCGACTCCTTCTCTACCTTCTTTTTGCAAAAAAGATTCGTATGGGTACAATCGATTGAACAAATCGAAAACTCGAGCGCTTGGAAATTTTCCAAGGAGGGCAGCAATTTTCGGTATGTTGTCGATGGGAAAATCCGGAAGTCCCAAACTAGCGGATTCGTCCGATGACAATGCGTAGGCACACGATAGGAATTTATTAATTTTATCAAAATCTCCGTTCGGTACTATTTCCTTAAACGTTGACGCAACTTCCTGAAACGAGAGAGAGAAAGAGAGAGAGAGAGAGAGAAATAATTCTATTCTTAAATTTGAATTGGTGCGAAGAAGAATGAAGGGGGCAAGGGTAGCATGGCGCGGGGGCGGGGGGAGGTGATGCAAAAAACATTTTAATATACACCCGTTATCGCGTGTTTACCAATCATTAAAATTTTTTTGTTCGTAAATCGAAGAAATTGAAATAGTTTTCTTCTTTTTTTGTATTCAATTTACTGAATTTCGAGAAGATTCATTAAATATTTATTTATAAATCAATTTGTACCCCCTCTACCCCCTACCCCTCCCCATTCCCCCCTCTTCCCCCTCGTAAGTCGCTTATTCGTGTTTTATTTAAGTTTTTTGTTTTGTTTTTAAATCTTTTTTTTTTTTTTTTTATCGTAATTAAAATCTTTTGTATTAGGATCGTAATTCACAAAAACAACAGCAAAAAAAAAAAAAAAAAAAAACAAAAAACTTTTTCCCGCAAAAAAAAAAAAAAACAAAATTCTTTTAATAATTACATTTATTAAAATAAAAATAAAACGAGGAGGAGGGGAAGGAGGTGGGTGGGGAGGAGGGAAGGGGGGGGGAAACGGAAAATTTACCGGAAGTGTATAATTTTAAAAGGTAAAATACATTAAGATATTATTAGATCTATTAAGTGTTTAAAATAGTGAGAGTAATTTTTTTTTTTTTTTTAGAAAATGGTTTAAATTATAATTTTTTTTGATGGGGGCGGGAGCAGCGGGGGGCAGGGGGCGGGTAAATTACCCATTCGGGAAAGTAGAGAGAAAGAGAGAGTGAGAGAGGGAGGGAAAGAGGGAGGGAAAGAGTTTAAATTACTTGAGACATGCTCGAGTTTGAAAAGTTTTCCCCCCCCCCCCATCGTTTTTTTCATTCCTTCATTCTTTTCCCCCCCCCTACTTTTTCTACTTTTTCTTCTTCTTCTTCTTCTTCTTCTACTTCCACTTTCGACTAATTAATTTTTTTTTTAGAAAACCCGGGAATTTGAATTGATTTAATTAAAAAAAAAAAAAAAAAAAAAATTTCAATTAATTTTTTCAATTCGAAAACGCGCTAAACGAACTAAACAAAAATTTAAATCCTCCTACAGTATTATTATTATTATTATTATTATTATTATTATTATTATTATTATTATTATTATTATTATTATTATTATTATTATTATTATTATTATTATTATTATTATTATTATTATTATTATTATTATTATTATTATTATTATTATTATTATCCAATCAATGCGGATACGTAAACAATTGTAAAAAAAATTTAAATTTTTTTTCGCGCCTTTTTTAAAAATTTAATATCAATAAATTACGTTAAGTGAGATCATTATGGAAAAATTTTCGGTTTCCCGATTCGAAAATGCTTTCGAAAAGATTTTCTTTTTTTGTATTATTATCATTATCATTATTATTATTATTATTATTATTATTGTCATCGTTTTAAAATAAATAAAATTTCGTCCGAAAGGTAAACGTAGAAAAGAAAGAGAGAAAGAAAGAGCAAAAAAACGTCTTTTTTTTTTTTGTTTTCTTTCTCTCTCTCTCTCTCTCTCTCTCTCTCTTTTTATAGATCGGAGACACGCTTATTATTGTCAGTAGTGCATGTGACACGCCTCGGTAAAGAACAACAATAACAACCAAAAAAAAAAAAAAAAATTTCCATTTCCGGGAAAGAAAAGGAAAATTTTCTATTCATATTATCAAATATAAATATTAATAATAATAATGTTTATTTTATTTATTTTGTGCTGTTGTTGCTGTTGTTTACGATTTAAAAATTATAAAAAAATAACGACAAAAAATATTTTACAATGATGATAATAATAATAATAAGAATAATGGTAGGATTTGAAAATTTTTATCCGCGTTCAATTAAAAGGTAAAGTGCACGAATAAAACCTCTTTTCCTTTGAATTCCTTTTATTTATTTATTTTGTCTTCTGCTTTTTTTTTTTTTTTTTTTTTTTTTTTTTTTTTTTTTTTAGGGAGGAGTGATGCGGAAAAGGAAAAATGCCGGGAAATCGTTGGGAATCCTCGGAAAGACCGTTATTCGTCAAAACGATTTACGTCGACGGGAGTAGACACGTCGTACTTTCACGAAAAGATCCCCTTTTTTTTATAAATAATAATAATAATAATAATAATAATAATAATAATAATAATAATAATAATAATAATAATAATAATAGGAGAGCGAGACCTCGTTCGGAATGTTTGTGCGATACTAGAAATTTTCAATCCGATAATTTCGATACCGGAAACGTATCGAAAAAGAAAAAGAAAAAATTTATAATGACCGACGGTGACGATGACGACGACGATGACGTCAGCAGCAGAATGACGACGGATTTGCAAAAATGTTTCGTCAAATTACATTTTTCGAAAAATTCAAATAACGATAATAATAATAATAATAATCGCAAGAAAAAAAATTCCATACCCGAAAATGGCGAAAGATTTTTCGAAAAGGATTCGAATTCGAATTCGCAACGGGGAAAACATTCGTCGAAACGTTCAAAAACTAGAAATTTCAATAAAATAAACAACAATGATGATGATGATGATAATAATAATAATAAACGACAGCACGATTCGTTTGAAAAATTTTCCAGCGAAGAAGAATCGATTGAAAAAAATACAAATTCAGGTTTGTGTTTATTTAAATTTGTTTTTTTTTTTTCCTTTTTTTTGTTTGTTTTTCTTCGAAAACAAACAACAACAAACAGCAAAAAAATTCAACAAGTCACGTGAGAGAAATAATCACTTTTTCTGTTTTGTTTGATTTTCCAGAAAACAAAAACGACAGGAGGACCAATAATAATAATAATAATTATTACCACGATTACGATGCGGAAAATTTCAAAACGAAAAAATTTTCCGCCGTAAATTTCAATACGATTTTTCCCGAGTCGTCGTACGTTTCGCGTGAAAATCGAACCGACGCGGGAAATCTTTCGACTGTGAATAACCCGGCGGAAACGGAAAAAGAAATAAACGAGAAAAATTTTAGAAAAAAAAAACAAAATCCGAATGATGATATCATCGTGTCCGTAACGAAAGCGGGAGAAAAATGGAAAAAATTTAAATTTCCAACTCATTATTATTATCATCATCATCATCATCATCGTAATCCGAATTCGAATTGTTATCCGTCGGAAAATGAATTTTCCGATAAAAATTTATCGAAACGAGATAAATGTTCTCTCACGGATAGAGTCGTACAATGGATCGATTTGGCGAGAAAACAAAATTTATATAACGAAAAATTAAAATTTTCCACGTTGGAAAAACTCTCGTCGAAGAAAAACGTCGAACGGAAAACGAAGACAAATTTTTCAACCGCCGAAAACAAAATCTCATCGCCGTCTAAACCGGAAGTTATGAATTTATTAAAAGATACGAGTAAAAAGAAACAATATTTTATTACACCGAGACACCGTGATGATGATGATGATGATGAAGAGCAACGACAACGACAACCACAACCAAAACAACAACAACAACAACAATCAGGAAATAATGATGATGTATTCGTACAAAACGATACTGACGTCATTTCGATGATTGACGTCATCGACAACGATAATTCGGATTGTATCGGTGGTGGTGGTGGTGGTGATGATAACGGGGTGATGGGTTGGGATTCCGATGATGAGAATAGAAAATTGAATTTTCCCGAAGAAAATCCCGAACTCGCGAAATACATAACGGTCAAAATCGAATCGAATTTATCGAAATCGATAAATTTAAAAAATTCAATCGAAAATTGTTTACATTATGCGAATCGTATCGATCAAAATTACCCGGGGATCGTTAAAAATTTGAATTTTTTAAACGTTAAAACCGGAAACGATGAAATAGCAGACGACGATGGCGACGGCGATGATGGTGGCGGTGATTTTAAAAGAACATATACATGGACAAATGATAACCGCGATGCGACCGAGTTCGAAACAAAAAAAGAAGAAAAAAACGATGATGATGATGATGGAGGTAGTAATGACGTAGGAGGGAAAAAATTGGGAAAGCGACAACTTCATATTTTCATGCCGTCGCTACCGTCGATGACCGAAGGGGAGGAAAACATGTCGGAAGAATGCGAAAGTTTTTCCGATGACAACGACGACCCCCTTTCATGATGACGCAATCATATCAAACTTTTTTTTTTTTTTTACTTAAATTTTCCGGAAAAGGTTAAAAAGGAAAAGGAAGAAGAAAACTTGTCAAAAGTATACCGGAAATGATACGATCTCTTTCCGTAAGTATTAATAATTATTACCTACTACTTTAGTACTCGATTTGACGTTAATTAATACTATTTTTTATAATCTTTTTTTCTACGGATATAAACAATTAGAGGGATTAGCAGACAAAATGACACGAATCAAATTAATCGTGGAAGCAGAACGAACCGGAGCGACGTACGATAAGGAAACGAAAAATGCCAACATCATAACAACGTTCGACCGGAAATGGCCGTTTAAGTGAAAGGTAAAGTAAAATTTTTTTCGAAACGTGATGAGGTGATGATGAAGGGAACGGGAAAATTTTCCACGACAGCAAAAAACAAAAAAACCGACCGGAAGTAGTCAAGGGTTCGAAAGAAACAAAAGCGGAAAAAGTGAAATATAAAAAAGCGTAGGTTTAAAAAAAAAAAATTAAGAAAAATTTTCCAACAGGAAATGAAACGTTTCATACCCATCCCCCTTCCCCCCCGAAAAAAAGAAAACTTATTAAACTTTTAACTAGTTTTCTTGCGGAAAACAAAACAAAGAATTTTTTTTTTCATTTGAAATTTTCACGCTATTATTATTATTATTATTATTATCTTTTTCGAAAAATCATTTCGGGTGGGGGGAGGGGAAAACACAACAACACATGTCGTGACTTGTATCTTGTCAGTTTATATATAAAAAAAAAACTGCATAAACAACGTCGTGACGTCATGTTGTTTGTAAAAAAAAAAAGGAAACGGAAATAAAAAAAAAAATGCGACATACCTGATAACTATAAGGATTTATGCTTCTCGCTTGAAATCTCGATCGTAATGGCGGATCCAAAGGATTCCCAACGTATTTAGGTACAGGTAGACCGATGGCGATAACTCGAAAATCGTCGCTCACTCTAACCAATTTCCACCTGTCGAGTTCTTCTTTCGTATGAACCTGTTTTTTCAAGAGTTGGCGTCGTGAATTTTCATTTAAAAAAAAAAAAAAATGGCGGGAAAATACGTTTGGCCATCGTGTGTGCCTGCCTTACTTGTAATAATTTATCGTATCTCGTTCCGGGTATTAAAAATCTCCCGTCTTCCAAATGCATTTCACGATTTTCCAATAGATTATTCAAAACCGGAAGTACGTTTCTTTCCGCTTTTTCAATGCCCTCCAATATGAGTACTCGTCCTTCCAAAGCGGCTCTTACTGCGCTCTGGTGTGGAAACGAAAGAAAATTTTTAAAAAATATAAAAAAAAAAAAAGAAGGAGAAAAAGGGGAAAAAAAAAGGGAAAAAAAGTACCTGATCGAAATATTTAGCAGTTCCTCCGAGTATTTCTCTCCTCTGTTTTAAATCCGCTTCCGTCGTGTCTCTAGTCAATGCGACGTATTCGAATTCTCTTCCGGTCATTTCGAGGAAAATCATTGCCAACCGTCGTTTCGCCGGACTCGGGTGACCGATTAGGAAAACATCTTGTTTCAATATGTCTTTCTGTAGCATCCATCGTAAATGTTTTAACGTGTTTTGATTGAGTTCGCCCATGGATACTGTAAGCAAAAAAGGGAAAAATTAACGGATTCGCGTGCCCCCCCCACTCCCACCCCTTCCCCCCCAAAAAAAATGAAAGACAAACGACTCACGATATTTATGTGGACAGTACTGCGGTTTTTTCGCCGGTTGAATTTTTTTAACGACGTCACCGATTTTGATTTCCGTTTTTAAATCTGTTAGAAAGAGAAAGAGAAAGAGAGAGAGAGAGAGAAAAAAAAACTTGTAATGAAAAATTATCATTATTATTATTATTATTGATACAACACGATAGGAAATGCTCGACGAAAAAATAAATAAATAAATAAATAAAATTTTATGTATATATATATTTATTTATTGTATTATATAAAAAAAAATTTTGTTTGTTTGTTTGTTTGTTTGTTTAAAAAATACTTTTCAAATCGGCAAATTTAACATTTGAATTAATATTATTATTATTACTTAGTTTTTTCGCCATCAACTCGTTAGCATACGAATTATAATTGAGAAAATTTAAAAGAAATTTCGATTCATCGACGACGGCGGTTCGAGTCGTAGAATTTCGAGATATCGTTGTTTCGGATTCTTCCAATAACGTGGCAGCAATTTGACAATAAAATTGAAATTTATTAACTTCGCTCAGGCTAACGTTTTTACTCACGTTGTAAATCGAACAAAATGGATTTTTTATATACATTCCGTAATTTTTAAAATTATTTTTCCGTATTATTTGTCCCGTGTTCAAACAACAACCGTACGAATTGAAATTAAAAACTGAATAAAATTTATAAAATAATAATAATAATTCGACGGTTGATTTTCCGTTCGGAGCCGACGGCGATGACGTCGGCGATGACGTCGACGACGACGACGACGACGTCACGTGACATTTGAAATTATTTAAAATGCATTCTAATTTTTCATCAGTGTTTTCCATCGTCATGACGTCATCGTTCGCATCGGTATCGCGTAGCGGAAATAAATCGAAGGGTGGTAATATTTCCGTGTGAGAGGAACCTTTTTGCTGTAGGAAAAATATCGTTAATAATATTAGGGAAAAATTCGTTATCGTCGGTCCGGGTTGTTCTCTCGTCAAACGTAATTCTCGAGCCCATATTTTAATGAAAAATATTAACGGTTTTATTCTGGGATCGAAATTTGAGAGAGCGAATAAAATTTGCGACATTTTGAGCGCTTCCGTTTGATGCATCGACACGTCGCATTCGACTCCCGTAAAACTATGTTTGTATTTAATAATGGGAACTTTGGCTTGTTTTATGAAAACGACTTTTGCACAACCGACGGATGTTTTCGTCATGACGTTCGTCAATAAACTCAAATCGTTTTGTACGGAATTGATATCGACGCCGGGATTTTTATGCCATCTGAAACTCGTGGAATCGTCACGAAGGACGACCAAATCTAAATCGCTCGTGACGTCACCCAAACCGTTCACGGCACTACCGAACGGATACACGGAATGAGTTGGTAGGAGAACGTTGACTAAATTTTGTATTTGTTTCCACATCATGTATCTCAATCTGTATCCCAAATCATTCAATTTGTACGAGTCGTGTAGTAAACGTATTTGATTGTCCAAATCTAACGTTTTGTATTCTTTCAACAGTTTTCGAATTGAATTTGTTTTTGAATTATCATCATTATTATTAACATTCGAGTAATAATAATCATAATTTTCCATCACTGTGGTGGTGGGAATAATTTTCTCATGATCGTATACGATGGAATCGTTGAAATATCCAAAATGTCCTCCGAGCGAATTCAAAATTGAAAATTTTCCCCTTTTCCCACCACCACCACCACCACCATGAGATTTGCTATGATTAATGAGATTTGATAATTGTTCGCCATTTTCCATTTCTAACAAAACATATTTCATTGAATTTGTTTCAAATTTGTACATTTTAATCAATTTCCCACAATTGCAAGCAATGTCATATATCCTTTTGCAACTCTCATCATCGTTTTCTATTTTGAAAACAGCACTCGATAAAGCTTCCTCTTGTCTCGTTTTAATTTGATGAAAAAAATAATCGACAGGAATTTGTTCCTTATCCAAAACATCCCTATTTAATAACCCTGGAAGATTTCATATCATAAAACATCATACACATAAAAAACACTTGTAAATAATAATAATAATCAACAAGTACCAAAAATAATATATACTTACATACATAATATTAATAATAATAATATTAAAAAACACACAAAAAAAATTAATAAAATATCAAAATATGCTCTGCATCATTATAATAATAATAATAATAATGAGAACATTGTTTTGATAATTAACAAAAGCGAAAATTTAATACAATAATAATAATAATTTTATATATATATATAATTAACAAACCTGTAGCGGCACATCTATATTCCTGTATAAATTTATTATTTTTAATTGATAAAATTAAATTATCATTATTTAAACGTTTAAAAAAACTTATTTGTTTAAATGCTGAATACATTTTATATATATATATAAAAAAAAAAAAAGGTACGACGATAATACACTGTGATATTATTATTATTATTATTTAAGTTTAAAACATTTTAAATTAAATTCATTTTTTTAAATAAAAACATTATAACCTAAACTAAACAAGTTACAGGTGATTGAATCCATAAGTAAATCGTATCACGTGAACGTTAGCAAAAAAATAAAAAAAATGGCGGCAAAATTACGAAGCTAAGAAAAACGTAATATTTTTTTTTTTTTTTTATCGCACTATTACATAACACAAGATGATAATAATAATAATATATTTAATATAAAAAATTTAATTGTATTACGCGTAATAATAATAATAAAAGTATTTTTTAGATGATTGATTGATTGATTGATTATTGTTATTTGAATTATTATTATTATTGTTAATTATTTTTACACTTTTAATTTAACTGTCGTAATATTAATTAATTAAAATAGTTTTTTTTTAATTATTAATAAATAGTTTTACTCTGGTATTAGGTTAGTAACGATTTGCTACGGTTTACGAGTATGCGTATGACCAACATAAAAAAAAAAAAAAAAAAAATTATAGCAAAATTAATTTGCATTGTGTATATATATTACGACGTTAATGTTCTTATTATGTACCGAGAGAGTAGAGAGAGAGAGAGATAGTAAAAAAATTTTTTTTTTTTTTTCCAAAGGTTGTCAACTTGATTGTGATTGTCAATTTTCCCATAATGCTGTGCAAAACAGGAGCTGACGTCATGTGATAAAAAAGCAAGCAGAACTTGACGTAAAAGTATTCAGTTTACAAGTGCTGTGAATGTTTTCCCGTTGACTTTTTTTCTAATACTAAATTTACTAGTACGAATATATTCACTAATAAAAAAAAAAAAAAAAAAAAAAAAAAAAAAAAAAAATTTAATCAGTTTTTTTTTTTAAAAAAAAACAAAAATGGTTTTTTTTTTTTTTTTTTTTTTTTTTCTCTCTCTCCTCTCCACACACACACACACACACGTTAAGAATTTTTTTTTTTTTTTTTTTTTGTGTTGTTTATCGACAAAAAAATGGATCCGGATGTTGAAACGCTGTATGACGACGTTGATTCTGGTAACGAATCTAGTGGCGATGATGTTGATTTTGCAATGGAAGTTGAAAGTAATAATCCTAGAGAAAGGCCCACTGATGTCGATGATTATCCATTTGAAGTTCTTTCAACCGAAGAAATTGTTCAGCATATGGTCGATTCTATTAAAGACGTCAATACTGTTGTCGAGGTAAATTTTTCAAATATCAAATATACTCCTTACATCATAAAAACAAAAACAATTTTCCTTTGTTTATAACTAATAACTTTTACTTAAATGACTACTAAATTGTTTTATTTAATTATTATGTTACTATTTTATGTTTTTTGTTGTTGTAATTTGTGTTTGCATTTATAATCGGTTATAAACTTTGTTAATTGTATTGTTTTCGTAATGATATAATTGCACAACACAAAAATTTATCGAAACTTAATAATATTATGTATTTAGTTTGTTTGTAAAATATTATTTAAATAATTTGACCTATATTTATTTATTTTTTCTTACAATTAAGATACCGGCAACAACGACTAGAATATTGCTAAATCATTTTAAATGGGATAAAGAAAAATTAATGGAAAGATTTTATGATGGAGATCAGGATCAATTGTTTGCAGAAGCTAGAGTAATTAATCCATTTAGAAAACCTACACTAATAAAACAAAAGGTGAAAAAGAGAGAGAGAGAGAGAGAGTGAAATAATTGTAAGGTAATGTGTCGCTTTACTAATGAATAAATTTTGACAAATTGTAGTTTCAACCAGTGAGGAGAACTTCCACGACAAGTACTGAAGAATGTGAGATATGCTTTATGATATTACCATCTTCTGTAAGTGTATAAAGTATAAAAGATGGTGTGATTGTTGTTGTTATAAATAAGTAAAAACAAAAGAGATGAAAACATTATTGTTAAAAAAAAAAAAACATGTTTCTAGATGATGACTGGATTAGAATGTGGTCATAGATTTTGTACTCAGTGTTGGGCAGAATACTTAACTACTAAAATAATGGAAGAAGGAGTTGGTCAAACGATTGCTTGCGCAGCACACGGATGTGATATACTAGTAGATGATGCCACAGTCATGAGGCTTGTTAGAGATTCAAAAGTTAAATTAAAATATCAACATCTAATTACGAATAGTTTTGTCGAGGTGAATATCAATGGAACAATCAATGTGTTAGAGAGAGAGAGAGAGAGAGAGTGTGTTAATTGCGTTTTGATTTTTCATTTTAGTGTAATAGATTATTGAGGTGGTGTCCATCTCCGGATTGTAATAATGCTATCAAAGTTCAACATGTTGAAGCTCGAGCAGTGACATGTAAATGTTCTCATACATTTTGTTTTGCCTGTAGTGAAAATTGGCATGATCCTGTTAAATGTCATTGGTTAAAAAAATGGATAAAAAAATGTGATGATGATTCGGAAACTTCAAATTGGATTGCAGCTAACACTAAAGTAAGAATACACACACATATATATATATATATATATGTGAAAAAAGAAAGAAATGTCTGGAATTGAAAATTATTTCATTTGGGTTTTCCAGGAATGTCCAAAATGTAATGTAACAATTGAAAAGGATGGAGGTTGCAATCACATGGTGTGTAAAAATCAAAATTGTAAAGCGGATTTTTGTTGGGTTTGTTTAGGACCATGGGAACCGCACGGGTCGTCGTGGTAAAAAAAAAAAATAATAATAATTATAACTGATGGGGAAAATTTTTGAAAATTTATTAATTGTTGTACGGTTGGAATGAACTTTTTAATTTAATACGTTTGTCGTAGGTACAACTGTAATAGGTACGATGAAGAAGAAGCTAAAGCCGCTAGAGATGCTCAAGAAAGGTCTCGGGCAGCGTTACAAAGATATCTTTTTTATTGTAATCGGTATATGAATCACATGCAATCGCTCAAATTCGAACATAAACTTTATGCTAGTGTTAAGGGTAAAATGGAAGAAATGCAGCATCATAATATGTCGTGGATCGAGGTTAGGAGGGAGGGGGGGAAGATGAATTTATCCTATTATTATTATTATTATTATTATTGTTTGTGGATGTTTATTAACGATAATTTTTTGTTTTTTTGTTGTTAAACAGGTTCAATTTTTGAAAAAAGCCGTCGATATATTGTGTCAATGTAGGCAAACTCTTATGTACACATACGTATTCGCTTACTATTTGAGAAAAAACAATCAGTCCGTTATATTTGAAGATAATCAAAAGGATTTGGAAAGCGCGACGGAAAAACTCTCGGAATTTTTAGAACGTGATATAACGTCGGAAAATCTTGCCGACATAAAGCAAAAAGTGCAAGATAAATACAGGTACGGGAAGAAACCGTTAGGTTTGTCATCGTTGTTAACTAACGATTAAACTATTATTATTATTATTTTTTTTTTGTTTATGTAAAGATATTGCGATGGACGGCGTAAGGTTTTATTAGAACACGTTCCCGAAGGATACGAAAAGGATTGGTGGGAATACCCTGAGTAAAGAAAGAATTGGGGGGAAAAAAAAAGAAAAGAAAGAAAGAAAGAAAGAAAAAAAAAAAAAAAAAAAAAAAAAACTCAGGTATCGGATAATTAAAATTAGTGCTTTCTCGTACAGGGTTTTAATTAAATATTCGATAGGTCGATCGATCGATTGATCGATTGATCGATCCATCGAACGATTCATCGATCGATCATCATCACGAATGAATGAATGAATAAAATTGAATTATTTCGCGTGGCAATATTTAGAAAATAATTATTATCCTATCATGCAGGAATAATTTTTTTTTTTTTTATTTTTTGAAAAACGCGAATCAGGCACGAATTTAAAAAAAAAAAAAAACAAAATGATTAGGTTCCGGATGAGGGGAAGGAGGAGGAGGAAGAGGAGGAGGAGGAGAAAAAAGATATCATAGTTTTATTATTAGAATACCGATAAGATGAAATTTGATTTGTCTTAACGTTTCAATTATTATTATTATTATCTATGTGTGCAGGTATAACTTGTTGTTGTTCCTACCTAGCAACAGGGTCAAAACAAACGAAACAAAACAAAACAAAAAAGAAAAAAGAAATTGAAAAGAAAGAAAAAAGAGAAAGAGGGATAGAGATAGAGATAGAAAGAGATAGTGAGAGAGAGAGAGAAAGAAAAAACGTTACGATTTTTTTTTTTTATGTGCTTGATTAATATCAATCAGTAGATAAAAAAAATAAATAAATGTAGATTAAAATCCAATTCAGGTTTGGATTTAAATAATAATAATAATAAAAATAATTGTCATTTCACAGCTGCTGTATAACTCTGCTGTTTTCTAATCGTAGAATGATTTTAAATAATAATAATAATAATAATAATAATTAGTAGATTTAAAGAAATTTATCGTTTATACAAATTAAAAACTAAAAAAAAATTTTTTTATTATTATTATGGTTTCAATTATTATATAATAATAATAATAATAATAATTTTTTAATTAATTAAGTTGTGGTAACAGAAACAGCAGCAGTAGTAGCAGTAGCAGCAGCAGCAGCAGCAACAGCAAAATTTATATAAATTGTTTAAATATTATGAATGATTTTCATAAAAAAAAAAACAAACAAACAAAAAAAATCCACGATTATATCAATTGACTAAATTATTATTATTATTATTTTTTTTTTAAAAAAATATTATTATTATTATTTATAATAATAAATTTTTATGATTTTTTTTTTTATTTAATTTTTTTAAATTTTTTTTTTTATTTTAACAAAGATAGAAAGAGAGAGGGATATTTAAATTTGTAAAATGAGAGAAAGAGAGAGACATATTTAAATTGTAAAATAAGAGAGAGAGAGAGAGAGAGAGAGTCTCATCCGTTCGTTTTTTTTTTAAATACGTGCCATGAAAAGTTTCGATATTATTATTATTATTTATAAAAAAAAAATTATTACTCAACCGTTAAAATAAATAAATAAAACTATCGGTGATGATGATGATGATGATGATGATAATAACAAATTAATACATTTAATAAATCGATTAACATAATTAATGATAATAATAATTATGATCGGATAATTAATTATCGGAAAAAAATAATAATGATCCGAAAGTGATAACGTATTTCGTCACCTTATAAATTTAATAATTAATTAATAATTATTATTATCATTTATTTTAAAATTTGAAATTTACAATATTAACAACTCTGTATTAGAAAGCGTACTAAGACAATCTTAAGATATCGTTATGTACATACATAAATTATTTAAATTTTTTTGTAAAAAAAAAAAAAAGTCAACAATTAAATGTGTTTAATAATTAAATTTGCTACGGTTAATAAAATAGTTATTCGTGTAAAACATAACGAATGAAAAGAAATTAATAATAATAATAATAATAAAAACTCTTATGAATCAATCAATCATCTGATTAAAATCAGTATTTTGCCTTAGAGAGAGAGAGAGAGAGAGAAAAATAATAATAATAAATATTGCAATAAATATCTTGTGTTGTGTATATATGTGTATATTAATTATATATATATATATATATATATATATATATATATATATATATATATATATATTGAAATAATAATAATAATTAAAGATCAAAAAACGGTTAAATATTGTCGTTACCAAAGAATAAAAAATTTTTTTTTTCTCATTATTTTCATGATAATTTAAAAAAAAAATATGCGTTTGCTTTGTGATGAGTGACATTTTTTTTTCTAATGTAATTAAATATATATATATATATATATATATATATATATAATAAAAATTAATTTGTTGTAAGAGATGCTTGTGTTATTATTATCATGCCAATTAGGTATGATAAATAACCTAACAGGAGAGTCATTATATATATATATATATATAAAGACTTTTGATTTTAGATAAAATTGTAGAAAATTTTTGTTGAATAATAAAATAAATTGTAAATAAAAATATTAAATATATATATATATATATATATATATATATATATATATATATATATATATATATATATATATATATATATATATATACTTATATATATATAGTTTAAAAATGTAATAAATAAATTTTTCTAAAAAAAATTGTAAATATTTTGGCATAAAAGAAAAAATGTTAAAATTAATAATAAATAATTATAATTAATATTTTAGGTAAAAAAAAAAAAAAAAAAAAAACATGTCAGACTTTGTTTTTTTTTTTTTTTAAATTAAATTAAATTATTAATTAATTAATTAAAAGCTTTGTATTAATTTTTTTTGTTTTTCTTTATGCCGTAAAATTAAATTTTAATTAATTTTAAAATGAAAAAATGTCACAATATATATATAGAATTGAAAAAAAGGGTGTAAATTTTATGCCTTACAATTATTATTATTATTATTATTTTTAGCAATTAATTAATTAATTAATTAATTAATTTTTTTTTTAAATTTTATCTTGAAAAAGTTTTAATTAGTTTATTTGTAATTTCTTTTTTTTTTGTTATTTTTTTTTAAAGAAGAAGTCGTGTATATATTTAAAAAAAAAATTAAAAAATTCTAATAAAATTAATAGAAAATAATAATAATAATAATTTTTTTCTTTTTGGTTTTGTTCTTTACTAACCGTTTTTTTTTTAAAAATTCATTAAAAAATTAATTTAAAACTTTTCATTTTAAATTCTAAAGATATTTTTTAAAGAAATTGAAAGATATATATTAAAACACAATTTATTTTTTATGGAATACGTTTTGAATTTTAGCTTCGTTTTTTTTTTGGTCATCACAATCGTTATTTTTAAACAAATCGAAGGTTAAAAGTGTAAAAATGATACTGATAATTTAAACAAGTGAAATAATTAAAAGTAAAAATGAATTCTTACATATTTTCCGCGTGTATCCGCTGCCGGAACATGAAATTTTACAAAAAAAAGGTTTTACGTTTTAATTTTGAACAAAAATTTTAAAATGAAGTTAACGGTTTTTTCAAGTAGTCGTGTAACAAGAATGTCGTTCGATCAAAGATTGCGATAAACTCTGCGCATGTTCTAATTTAGAAGGCAGTGGTAATCATTTTTATATTTGTATTTACGGTTTTGAAATAGTATAATTTTTCTTTTTTTTTTTTTTTTTTTTTTATTTATATATTTATAAAAAATGGATTTTAAAAACGTTAAAAAACAAATTTTACAGGCAAGCGATTTAAGTAAAAAAGGATCCGTCGATGAATCAATAAAAGATTTGGTTGATTTTATTAACGAACAAGATGATTACGTTACGACGAGTTCTTGTTCTGGTAGAGCAATACTATTTACATCGGTCAGTATTAATTTTATTTTATAAACTGTTTTAATTTAAAAAAAAAAAAATTTTCAATTATCATTTTTGATTTTTGTAGAGTTATGGAGACGTTACTGGTCATAAAAAATCAAAAAAAGATTGTAAATGGCTATACACAAGTCATGATTTAATTGATCCTGATACATTTGTAAATAGTGTTAATTTAACCGAAGGAGATTTGCAATTTAAATTCGAGCCATTTATTTTACACATATTGTGTTCAAATTTAGAAAAAGCAAGACATTTGGTAATTTTCATTTATTTTTTTTTTTTTATATAATGTAAATACAACAAGAGATAGAATTTATTTTCATATAATTAATGATTTCAGCATACTTATGCAATCGGTGCAGGATTTAGAGATTCGGGATTAACTGTAGGTAAACATGGGAAAATAACATTAGCAATTAGAAGTAATTTAAGGTTAGAAGTTCCACTTTCTCAAGGAAATGTAATGCTTGTTTCTAATTTTGTAAGTTAATAAAATATTTCCTAATACTTTTTACATAATTTATCACTTTAAAAAAATTACATTTTTGGAGTTTTTTTTTTTTTTCTTTTTTCAGTACTTAAATTTTTTAGCCGAACAAGCTAATGAAAAAATGGAACTGAATAAAAGAAGTATTAAACATTTTTTTATAGTTTTAAAAGAATTTTTTAACAATACCAAAAAAACATAATTGAATAATAATAAAATTCCACAAAAAAAAAAATTTAATCCATAAGTTTTATTATATATTTAATAAAACTTTCTTTTTATAATTTAATTTTGCTGCGTAAATAATAATCAACTTAATAATAATAATAATAATGTGTAGTCGAACAATTGAGACTTTATTAAAAGTTTTTAATTTACAATCTGCCTCAATTTAAACATTATTAAAAAAAAAAAAAACAGTTTTTTTTATATTTTCTTTTTCTTTTGCGACTTAAAAAATTTTTTTTTTTCAACGATTCGTTTTATTTGAGTTATTTTACTTAATTTTTTATATATTTATATTTAACCCTGTCAACGATACTAAAAAAAAGTATTGTTAAAAAATTTTTAAATATAAAATCACTACTCCATGTATAATAATAATAATTTTTTAAATGTATTCTTTGCAAAATAAAAAAAAAATTTCGGCATTACTTTTTCGTGTGAGATTAAAAATCTTTAATTTTATCGAAAATTCTTATTTTCTAAATTTTTTTTAATAAATGTTTTTTAATATAAATTTGATTCTTTATTTTTTTTTTTAAGAATTTATTTAAAAATAAATTTTTAAATTAAAAATTGCACTTAACATAAAAAATACAATTATAAATTATATAAATAATTTTAAAAAGATTAAAATTTATAATTTATCAAATATTTATAACAATTTAAACGATTATTAATGAACTATAAGGTCAATAGGTCTTGATTAAACTATAAAATTAATAATGTAAAATAACATTTTTTGTCTTTCGTTTATTATTATTTTTTCTTTTATGCACTGAACAAATCACTTAAATAAAATGAAAATGATTTTGTAAAATGTTAATGAAATTTTTTTTTATTATTATTATTAATTACTACTTGTGATTAAAAAGTATTTATTGTTTATGTTTGCTGTACTGGGTAAGGCTTATAATTTGGATTATTTGGTACACCTGTCACAGGAGTTGGTATTGAAAGAGGAGCAGTCATTGGCGAGAAATACATGTCATGTTGATAAGGCATAACAAACAAATGGGATTTCCACGGATTGCACATAAAACTAGCTATGTAAATAAGATAAATTAAAAATGTGGGTGTCGTTAGGCAAGACACAACGACTAATAGGTGCCAAAGAAAATCCGGCATGTCTTTTTCATGGGGCATTCTCAAAACTTTAACAATAAGCGTTACCATAACGTCGTCCCATCTTGTTATTGTGTAATAAAAGCAAGATGCAACAGTTGATAATACAGCCAAAATTGTTAATAAACCCATGAAGCTGCGAATAAATTGTAATCCTTTTTTTTTTACGTCAACGCACCACGCTGTGAAAAAAGATATTAAAAGTAATGCTGCTCCAGAGCCGCCAAAAAAATAATCAACATAATAAAGTTCTGGGTAGCAATGGTTTGTAAATACAAAACACGTTACAAAAAGTCCAAAAAGCATGTAATGGCAAAGAGCAATGCAAACCGTTACACGAACGGGACACCCGGAACATCCAGTTTCTAATTCATAACAATATCCCATTTTCACAAAGGGTTTGGATTTAAAAAAAAAAAAAAATATATTTATATATATATTTTGTTGACAATTTAATAATAAATTGCCACCAAAATTATTTAAAATATTTTTATGATGTTTATTTACTCTATGGTAGCGTACTCGGCAGAATAAAACTTAAAACTGGCGGTAAATTGAAAGAAATGGAAAATGTCAAATGATAATTAGGGTCGTACAACTTTGTATATATTTTCGTTATTTATTTATTGTTGTTTAATTTAAATTTAATCGTAATAAATATATATATAGTTATGGGTATTCAAGGATTGCTTCCATTTTTATCAAATAGTACGAGAGAAGGACATATTAGTGAATTTGAAAATGAGTATGTTGCAGTTGATGCTTATGTATGGCTTCACAAAAGTATTTATTGTTGTTCTTATGAAATAGCTATGAAAAAACCTACCACTAAGTAAGATTTATAATTTTTAATTACAATTTGTTAAATTATTTATGTGTTTATATAATTTTTTGTGAAATTTCATTTTACTAGTGAAGTACCTTTAAGAGGTAGAAACATTCAAAAAAATTTTATTCACATTGTTCTCCACTAATTTGATTTATTTCATTTTTATTTTTTTCAGATATATAACATATTGTATGAGATATATTGAAATGCTTCAACATTTTAAAGTAAAACCAATATTAGTTTTCGATGGCAGAGATCTCATATCTAAAGAACAGACGGAGAAAAAAAGAAGAGAGTAATGCAAAAAAAAAATATGTAGTTAGTACTTTTGTTTTAATTAAATCCATTTAAAATTTTATTTGTCTTATTATTTTTTTTTAGAGAAAGAAGTAGAAAACTTTCAAAAGGTTTAAATCTTTTGAGAGCTGGTAAAATTGTCGAAGGAAAACAGCTTATCGGAGAATCTGTCGATGTGAGTCACGATTTAGTGGTTAACTTAATGAAGGAATGTCGTAAAATGAACATTGATTGCATTGTTGCTCCTTATGAAGCTGATGCTCAACTTGCTTATTTTAGTATTAATAAAATAGTATCTTGTATAGTAACAGAAGATTCAGATCTTTTAGCATATGGCTGTGAAAAGGTAAATATTAGTAATTCATATTGATTATAATTTTTTTCTTCAAATTGAAATTTTTTTATTTTTTTATATTTAGGTAATGTTTAAAATGGAAAAAAATGGCAGAGGAAAAATAGTAGAAAAAAATAATATTTATAAATCATTAGGTATTAAGGAAGAAGATTTTAGTGAAGAAAAATTCAGGCATATGTGTATTTTATGTGGGTGCGATTATTTGCCTTCGCTACCAAGTATAGGACCTGCAAATGCTTCAAAATTTATAAAACTTATTTCCGATAAAAAAACTGTGGATGTAAGTTTATCAACTGCAATTTTGTAATAATTCTTTTGTTATTTTTTCATTCATTCTTCACATAATAATTTCAATTAATTAATATTACAGTGCCTTCCACAACTACCAATATATTTAAACAAATTAAAAATCACAGTCAGTCCTGAATACATAGAGGGATTTAAGGTAGCTGATAATACTTTCAAATATCAATTAGTGTATGATCCTTTTTTAAGAATGCAGGTACCTTTAAGGCCTCTCTCTGACGGAGCCGAACCAGTTGGAAAAATGTTACCTAACGATGAGGCCTTTCAATTGGCCATCGGAAATATTGATCCAAGTACAATGTTATTAGTTGACAATTACGATCCTGATACTGTAAGTAAATTACATTAAAAAATTTTTTGATTAAATTTAACATTTTTTTCAAATAGATTTGTTATTATTTCAGGCAGGAAAAGGTTTTAAATATTTGTGGAAAACTACTACTACAAAAGAAGAAAAACAATTTTCTCAAGAATCACAGGTTAATAATAAAAGACAAAGCGAAGGTAAATTTTATTTATAATAAAACTTTCAAATTATTATTTTTTATAATTTTATTATTATTATTATATTTTTTTATGTCATACTAAATGTAATTTTTTTAAGTATCGATTAGTTAAATTGTATTGAAAAATGTTTATTTTCTACTTTTATTTTGTATTGATAAATTTAATTTTTTTTTTTTTAAATTATTAAATACAAATAATTATTTTTAAAATATTTATTTTTATTATTATTATTATTTTGTTTTTTTTAGTGACACTAAATAAACCATATTTAAAAAAATATTGTCAATCAAAAGATATTGTTAATGAAAATTTCGATCCTAAATTAAATAAAAGTAAATCAGCTTTTGAATTTTCACAAAACAAGCATAAAAATTCTTCATCATTATCACAATCAAAAAATTTTGATTATAATGAATCATCTTTTGTCAGTAGCAGGTAATTATTATTATTATTAATTAATAATTTTTTTATTTCAACGAATGTTGATAATTAATTAATTTTTTTGTTTGTTTTTTTTTGTTGTCGGTAATTTAAGGTATTTCAAATCGAACAAAATAGAAAAAAAAGATAAAAAGACTGAAAAAATAGAAAGATTAAAAAATGAATCTCTAGAGGAATATTGTCAACGTTTACACGAGAATTATTTTACAGAGACTGATAATGATAATGACGTCATTGAAAATGAAAAAGTCACAATTAATAACGTGTCACAAAAATTTGACGAAATACGGAAAAATATTGTAAAAAAATGTACATTTAATAATGATGATGATAGTATTAATAGTAGAAAAATAATAATTAAAAACGAGACTGATGAGCGTGTAAGTGCGAATAAAATTTGTGATAATAATTCGATAACAGATTTACCAATCGTTGATTACATGTTAAACGAAGTGGAAAAAGATTTATTTAATGATGATGATTCTATTCTACCCGTGGAAAAAAATATAAATAATTTTACGAATATTATGAACGATGGTAAAAAAGAAGTCGATGAGTATGTGATGACGAACGGAAATGGAATAAAATTAAACGGTTCGGATGGTAATTCATTCGAAGAGACGCCGGAAATAGGAAATAAAGTACGTTCAGAAAGTAAAATAATGGAAACAGATTTAAAGGAACAAGAGGATGAACGCACCGTACCTACGAGACCTTTATCTCCAGTTTTTAACGTAAATAAAAAGACTGAAAATATAAATTACGTGAAAATGGAGACGTTTGTAGATACGCTTAGCACTCCGACTTCATTATATTTTTCACCATTATCCGAATCGGATATAAATCAATCGACTAAAACTGTAAGTTTGTTGTTAATTACATAATTCCATAGAATAATACTTTTTATTAATAATTCCTCTTCTTTTTTTTTAAAGTTTTCTCAAGAAAGAGTAAAAACGATGGGAAGAAAATCAAAATCATCATCATCATCATCATCGTCAACGGAAAAATCAAATAAATTGAGTAGGAATCTAAGTAAAAATTCAATTTTATGTCGAACGTTATTTCAATTTGGATTTAAAAAAGAATAAGAACTCATGTTTCGATGGCGACAAATTTATTTGTCGTGTCATTAGACGCGATCTCGCGGTTTTTTTACGTAAACAAATGAAAACAATAATAAAGAAAAAACGAATCTGTGGGATGATGATTATATAATAATAAAAAAAAGTTTTTAATCGAAAAAAAAATTCTTACGGTTTCTATTTTAAGTTTTAAAAAAAATGTTCATCGTTAATTTATATTATTATTATTATTATTATTTTAAATTATTATTTGTTTATTGTTATTTTGTATCGTATTTAAAATATACATTAAATTTTTTTTTTTTTTTAAATAAAAACTTTGAAAATAATTATTTTATATATATATATGATAATATTCGATTTCGATTACATCACATTATAAAAAACTTTTTAATCGATTAAATAATAATAATAATATTCCATTAGAAAAAGAAGAATAAAATGATAAAAAGTTTTTAAATGATAATGATATCTTTCTGTAAGTTTTTTAATTTAAAAAAAAAAAAAAGAACAATTATAACACCTGTCATATTTATTTCCTTTACAAAAAAAAGTCACTAATTAATAAATAAATTATTAATCGATAATTGAACATTTGCCCAAAAAATAAAAAATAGGCAGAAGGTGTAGAATAATACCTTTTTCGAGAGAGAAAGAAAAAGAGAGAGAGAGAGAGAGAGAGAGTGATGGAAAAAAATTTCCCACTTGGCATAACGATAAGATTTTTTTTAATTTTATTTTTTTCCTCCTAGAGGGTGTTGACGATAGAGGAAACGCAAGACTGGATTGGTTGCCATGGAAATGACGTCATTACTGCCGAATTCTCTTCCCCCTCTTTTTCGACTAAAGTAAGATGGCGGTTTCGTACGGTAAGAGAAAATAGTTGCAGTTCTCGTTTAAATCGTTATGGTTAAAAGTGCCGGGATTGTTTTCCTTTTTTTTTATTTTTAAATTTTATATTATTATATATAATTAAAATAAATGTCGTCGTCGTACGTTATTATTTTTTCATAATTAATGAATTTATAATAATAATTTTTAATAAAAAAAAAAAAAAAGGAAAAAAAAAATTATGACGACCTAATATATATTGTTTTATTGTGTTCGGTTCGGGTTAATGTAATACGAGAGAGAGAGAGAAAGAAAATTTTTTCATTTTTCATTTTTATCCGGGTGAAAAGTGTATCATTATTATTATTTTATTTATAAAAATTGTGTTTAATATTAAGATTGAAAATATTACAATTCCGGTTCTTCCATGATATAAAAAAAATAAATTTTCTATGTGAATTTCCGGTTTCTTCATATAATTTACACATTGTGCTCCCCCCTACCCTTCTCTTCAATGCATTGGCTATTGGCATAAATGGATAACTGAGATTTTTCACTTTGTTTTTGATATTTTAAGGTAAGATTAAAATTATTTTTTATCATCATCATCATCATCATCATTTAATCTCATTGTTTCCCCCTTCCTACCACCCCCTTTCTCCCCCATTCTCACCACCCCCTTCCCTATCTATTAACCAAAGTTTATTTTTGATTATGTTATTTACCTAATAATCGATTTATTTTTTTCTTTTTTTTTCGAACGTTTAAACATTTTATTTTATTTTTAAGTAAAGTGCGTGTTATTTTATGCGTGTGCGTGTGTGCGTGTATAAAACGCATAACGTTTTTTTTTTTTTCTTATCTTTAAAAAAAAATAAAATAAAAAATAAAATAAAATTTTAACGATAGATGACGCGTGAATGTTTAACATACGTGCGTGAATGACGGTTGGTTTAACGGTCATTTCAAAATTTCGAAAATAATATTCTTCGCGTTCTTTTTTTTGATTTTTTTTCCAGATAAAATTTATTTTACTTGACCCAAATAATTATCATTATCATTATTATTATTATTAATATTATCATAATTAAAGTAATATTAATAGTAGGTGAATATTATTAAATCGTATTCGTTTATTTTAATTTATTTTTCGATCTATCGATTTCAAATTTGAAATTTTTTTTTTTAACGGTTAAATTAATAATAATGATAATATAATAGGATGAAGTTAACGAAGTTTGGTTATGTTTAAAAAAAATTTTCTTTTCTTTTCTATTCTTTTATTTTCTTTTGGAAACATAAAATAGACTAAAGGGGAAAAAAAGGTCACGATGAATATTATGCGTGATATTAATATTAATATATGTGCGTGGGTGCGTGCGTGCGTGTGCGTGTGCGTGCATTAAACCGAATAAAGTAAATAAAATTTATTATAAAATTTTTACTGGGAAAAAATTATTAAATGTATATATATACATATAGAAATTTATTTTCGTTAAATTCAATTTAAAATATTGAATAAAATAAATAAAATGTTGTTGCTGTTGTTTGTCGTTGATGTTTGTCGTTTGTCGTTTGTTGTTGTATTATGACGTATATAGAATTACAAGGAAATCAAAATGAAATCAATTTTTTCTTTTAAGCAAAATGATTTCGTCACGTGTTTTAAATTTATTAATTACATTACCGCCATCTTTGATTTAGTTTATTGTATAGGAAATAAAAAAATTTTTTTTTTTTAAAATAAATTTATAAATAATAATATTAATAACGCCTGTTGAAATGATTTTAAATTCGATGATAATAATAATGATTCATTGAAATAAACGAATAGGTATAATCATAAGGATTTGTATTTATTAATAATAATAATAATAATAATTTGAAAAATTTCATCGAGATTCATTTAATACAATTATTAATAATAATAATGATGATTATCATTAAAGCGGCGCAAAAAAAAAGTTTATTTTGGTATTATTATTATTATTATCATTATTTTTTTTTACGGGAGAACGAAAATTTTCATTTAATTAATTATTAATAATAAAAATAAATAAATAAATAAATAAAAAAAGGTTCGGTTATTTTCGGCCGTTAATTTTGTATCTTCAAAGTAAATTAATTTTTTTTTTTTTTTTTTATTAATAGGAGCAAATTCCAAAAAAAAAAATGAGTCGAGTTGCGGGGGAGGAGGGGGTGTGTGTGGTTTTTGTTAAAAAAAATTTTATCCACCGATCGATGACGTAAAAAAAAAAAAAATAATAATAATAAAATACATAAAATATTTTCACCTTTTTAAAAAAAACGAGAGCAGTGAAAAGTTTATTATTATTATTATTATTATTATTATTATTATTATTATTATTATTATTATTATTATTATTAATATAGATTTAAATATAATTGATATAAAAATAAATATAGATTTTGCTATAATAATATAATCACGCAAAACTTTTTACTTTGAATACATACATATAAATTTTTACGTGTACACATACAAAAACGTTTTCTCTCTCTCTCTCTCTGTCTCTTTCTCTCTCTCCATATATATATATATATATATATATATATATATATATATATATATATATATATATATATATATATAAATACAAAAATGAAAAGTCATTTTCATTTTAAAAACTCCCCCCTTCTCCCTTCTCCCTTCTCCCCTCTCCTCCTTTTTTTATTTTTTTTAAATTGTGTATTCAAAGTATACATTGCATCATTTTATTATTATTATTAATATTAAAAACTGTGAAATTTTAATAAGGTATTTTTTAATTACTTTTCTTGGTCAGAAAAAAAATTATTATTATTATTATTATTATTATTATTATTATTATTATTTTATCGCGTGTTAAACTTTTTTAATTTAAATTTTTCTTTTTTTTTTATTAAATGCTTTATAATCGTTCATTTTTTAAACAATTTTTTGATTTTTTTTTTACAAAGTTCTTATAAATTATTATTATTATTATTTTTTTGTACCTGTTTGAATATTTCAATAGTTCGTATATGTCAATGTCAAGGTTTCTCCCACCACCCCCACCCACCCACTCTCTCTTTCAACCCTTTTAAAAATAATAAATAGATCGAAGAAATTATTTTTTTTGTTTTTTTTTGTTGTTTTGTTTTCTATTGACACGATGATTTTATTAAAAAATAAAAAAAAATTTTGTATACCAACGCTGATTTTTAATAATAAATAAAATTAATTAAATTAAATTAATAGAATTAGCGGGAGGGGGGAAATAAAATAAATAAATAAATAAATAATAAATTATTAACGTTTTTAATTGAGATACGTGTCGTTAATTAAATTTTATTATTATTATTAGCATTGTATTATTATTAGCATTATTAACGTTAGATTCTGAAAAAACACATAGCATTCTATGTAGTCCTTACAAAAAATAAATAAATAATAACAATAATAATAATAATAATTGCACGATTGCGAAAATGGAGCAAGTAATGAATGACAAAAGTTTTTTTTTTCCATGTGTAAGATTCGACAGAATTACACGACGTACATTATTATTATTATTATTTTCAAATGAATACAATCAATTTTCATTTTAACATAAGCTTTTGTAATAATGATAATAATAATAATAAATAATAGTGTATTGACGTCATTGAAAAGATTAACCTCTTTTTTTTTGTTTTTTACATTAATTTTATTTTTATGTAAAATATTTTAAATGTCTTTATTTTATTTTATGTCATTTATTACTATTATTATTATTATTATTGTTATTATTATTGTTATTATTATTGTTATTATTATTATTATTATTATTATTATTATTATTATTAATATTATTTTAAAACGTTTAAATAATTTATGGGTATAAAAATTATAAGGAATCGATTTAATATTTATTCAAAAAAAAAAAAAAAACGCAAGAAATAAATTGTTAGTTTTTAATTTTTTTAAATTTTGTCACACACGCACACACACACACACAGGCGCGTAATAATAATAATAATAATGGTTTCTATTGGTCCCCTTAAAAATAATAATAATAATAAAATTTTTTTTTATATATCATTAATTTTCAATCGATTTCATTGGTGGCGTTAGGAAAAAATAAAAACATTTTATTATTATTTTTAATTAACGAGTTACTTTTTATTTTTTATTTTTTGTTATAATTTTAAAC